AAAATACTTCATAACATATACGATGAATCATATTTAAGTTCCCAATTAATAATTTATGGGTATATTTGTAGTCCTTGTGGCATATATTACTATAGACGCTGATAATTAACACTTGACATGTGAAGTTTTGCTTCTAACTTCGAAGTGAAATATAAATGGTATTAAACAATTGGCCACGTTTTGTTTAATTGCAGAATCGTGGAGTCTTTTTGACCATATAATAGTTTAATCTCCTTAAAACAGCATATATCTGACCGGTCTTTTAACTGCAATTAACTGGGTCTTCTCCAAATTTGAATAATACCATCATCGTTTAATCCTCTTACCTCAGTAGATTCGACTCCAATTATCGGATTTTGTATTAGAAAAGTTATATTTTTCTTAAACCTGGAAGTTATTGTAGCTTCAAGTATTTATGTTTTGCGTTTATTCTCTACAATCAGTTTAACTGAAGAATTGTTCTTAACTAAGTGACTTCTTAGTGAAATTCAAGTTTAAGGAACACTTGAGTTAAGATGTTTAATGCATACAGGTTCTGCTCATATAAATTAATATTATAATATTTAGATATTGACTTGAATGTTACCATTTTCATAAAGTAAATGAAAATCATATAAGGATATGCCGAATTAACTTCCTACTGTCAGTCAAATCTCTTGTAAAAACAAAATAGACAAAAAGACAAAAATATATATTTCATTCATGTTAAAACAACAACTCCCGAAACGAAAGTTGATTTTTATCAGCTATAGTAAGAGGAGGGGGTAAGACGGTTGCGCAATGCTAGGCGGCGTTCTCATAGAAGTTAGAGAAAAAATTTCAGGTTCCAGCCCGGTTGGGGAAAAGTTAAGAATCGGATCTATTCTAACATTGGTAGATTGATTTCTAGGCACTATAGGTATACATACAAATAAGGAGATGTGGTATGACTGTCAATCAGACAACTATCCACTAGGGTTCAAACCACGAAGATAAAAGCAATTAAAGGCCAACGTACAGCCTCCAACAATGAGAAAAAACCCATACAACATAGTCAGCTATAAAAGGTGGCGATACAGCACAAAAAAAGAACAACTTGACTGTAAAAATCAGTTGCAAATGGCTTAACTCAACAGATCAGTCCTGTATATTTATTAAGTTGTTTGAACTTTTGATAGCGTCCTTTATATGAATGAATAAAGGAGAAAGTCGTAGTTAAGCTCAACGAACCTTGAAGCTTTTAATAAGTAAACTGCACAATTTTAATATCGACCTTGAATTCGTCGACAACAAGACGTTATATTGCACATTGCAGACAAGGTTGAATAAACTCGTAGGCACGCCATGTTAAAGTTCCCTCAGTCCATCACACCTACAGTGGGATGGGGGGAGGGGGTATGGTTTTTTTCCTTAAAAAATATTCTGATCCCCAATTGGATAAAAAAAATTATATTCTGGTCAAGCAGATGACAAAAAAAAAATTCCTCATACCTTATAGTGTTAAATTTAGAAAAAAATAATTTGATTGATAGCGTCGAAAAACTAAATAAAAACCACACCCCCCTTTGAAGTTAAATAGTTGCTCCCTAACACGAACACATACTTATGACAGGAAAGGTAACATGCAGGACTAAAGACATAAATTGCTTCCAATCATTCAAACCTTTTAACCAGCGAGACGGGAAAATATAAAACCAAATTGTCGAAAATTCATTCATTCATTCAACCAAGGGGTCTATATAATGAAGTTGAAGTCATTTTAGGACGCCATAATTTTTTGGTTTACAGTAACTGTTATGGAATATCTGTGTTACAGATAATCATGAATATATTATAATTGTTGTAGCAACTTTTTAGCTCACCTGCCCTCAAAGGCCAAATGAGCTTTTCTCCTTACTTTTACAAAAGTCTTCTCCTCTGAAACTGCTGGGCCAAATTTAACCAAACTTGGCCACAATCATCATTAGGGTATCTAGTTTTAAAAATGTGTCCGATGACCCCTCCTGCCAACTGGTCGACATGGCTAAAAATAGAACATAGGGGTAAAATGCAAGTTTTACATACTATTTTGAAAACTGCTATGAATAGAGAAAATCCAACAAAGGCAAAAATGTTCAGAATGTTGAGCTCTACCTATTGTTCGTTACGTCAAAACTGGCAGACGACTTCTTGTAGGAGTTATTGCCCTTAGATGATGCATTTTACCATTTTTTTAAATTTGCCTTTTATCTCGAAAATTATAATAGATAGACAGAAACTTTGAATAGAAAAAAAAATATCTGCAAGACAAGATCTACAAATAAGTAAACATTGCCGAAATTTTCAGTCGACTCCTCATTAGAGTGATTGCCCTATAATGATGAATTTTACATTTTTTTTGCTTTGCGTGTTTGTCTTATATCTTTGCAACTATATTAGGTAGATAGGAAATTTAAATAGCAAAAATGTTCAGCAAGACAAGATCTACAAATATGCCAACACGACTGAAATTGTCAGTTAACTATTGATAGAGATATTCCCCTTAAATGATGATTTTTACTCAAAAGTGGCCATTGTTGAAAATGCAGGCGAACGACACAGGGCTAGTTTTCTTGTGCGAGTAGTGCACCGGGAAATAATTACCCTTCCCTGAGTACCCTGGTTCATACCTTCTTTTTGCGGAAGTCCAATTGCTGTATGCGTTGTTTTCTATGTAGTGTTTTTTTTTTTCTGTTTGTCATTTTTTGTCATGGTGTTGTCTATTTTAATTCGACTTGTGGTTTTCATTTACTCTTTTATTTTTTAATCTTTAGAAAATCCACATGTTTTAGAGGCTTTTAGTTCTTGCTATGATTTATGGACATTTGTTCATTTGATGACTTATAATAGCATACATACATAAATAGAAAGATTTTAAGGGTATAACGTCAATAAGACAACGAAACCCAACAGCACGAATTATGAAAACACATCTTTAGATCATTGCAGTGTTCAACAATAACAGGGATTCTATTCATAAAAAAATCTCCCCACTAAAATTGATCGTAAGTGAAACCGAAATGTTTATGACTTATAAGTATTTTACTCGTAACATTTTTTGTGAAATGAGTCATATGTGTCTATACAATAAATCAAGTCCTAAGACATGACTAGTCAGGTTCGTTCAAACTGATATTTTGTGAGTGTCACTGTCTCAATAAGGATCACATCACACATCTTTATTAGTGTTCAACCCGAAAGTAAAGAGCCACCACATTGTTATGCCATACTTTCGATACATTACAAAGCTAATGATTAAGCTTTTGCTGAAGCTTTATTTAACGCAGCTTTATTACGCATTGTATGTAACTCTGTATGAATAAAAGAAGGCAGCAATCCAACGACAAAATAAAAGACATCTAACGTTAAAGAGGACCATGAAATACAATATAACAAGCTCCAAATAGGTCATGGTCTACAGAACATAAGTTAAACAGAATCGGCCAGGGTCTACAGAACATAAGTTAAACAGAAACAATTAAAGATTTGCCATCAACATCTTATTCTTCAAATAACAAAGGACTAAGGGGGGGGGGGGGGAAGAAACATAAAGACATGTTCGGTGTGAGCCAAGACTCCGTGTTGAAGACCGTACTGTGACCTATAATGGTTTACTTTTATAAATTTTGACTTGGATGGAGAGTTGTCTCATTGGCACTCATACCACATCTTCTTATATCTATGGCATAAGACAAACATCGACGAGGTTACTCACTGCTTGAAAGTGAAGTCTTCAGAATTGGAAATGAAAAGATTATTCATTCGCTTTCGATAATATTTAAATTTACTGTCTTTATTTGCGATTTTCCAATTAACAGTCAATATTAAATTATTAATAGACATAAAATCCAAAGAAAAAATCTTGTTCTACTTCAGAAGAAGAAACTTCCATTATTTTCTGTTAACGCTATTACAAGTTCTAATACAATTTTTTTTGTTCTGACAACAGTTCGTATGGACTAAAATTCAAATTGTAAATGACATTGTATAATTTAAGCTGTTTAAAATCACACGAATCAATATCTTCCAAACTTTGTCTGAATAATTACATGCGTTATTATGTGAAAAATCTCCTTTTTACTGAATATGACGCACTCGATCCCTAAGTTAAACATGATCAAGTATAACACTTTTATATCAAAATAGTTTATCAAACTAGTCATGGATATAATCATTTAATTCACCGGTAATAATTTACTTAAGTTTTTAATTCATTAAACTATTATTCTTAACTATTGGTTCGTTCTAATTCGTCCACCAAAACAGACTTATTTAATGAAACTTAATAAATACATTACTTCATTTCGATTAGGCTAAGTATCAGCATCGCTTTTAGTTCGAAATTGTTCCGTGTTTTATAACACGAAGCCAGATAAATAATTCATGTTTATTTCACAATGAAATAATTTTGACCACTAGGATTACAAGTTCCTGTAAATGGTATGATATGTAAATATATTTAATTTATTGATATGTTTGAGTACTTTATTTTCTTTTAATTATTTTCAATATAAAAATAAGGAGATGTGGTATGACTGCCAATGAGACAACTAGTAACCACCTAAGTGCAAATGAAATTGATGTAAGCTAAATGTTTATTTAGCAATTAAATATGTATTTTTTTGTTTCAATTATACATACACTCACATAGTTCGGTTGTTCAAGCCACGTAGTTCAAACTAAAGGAAATATATAAATAATGCCAGGAGAAAAATTGGAAAACTCTTTATGCAAACAAATATTATCAGTTCAATTTTTTTTTTAATCAAGATTTCTTCTCCAAAAAGTTAAAGCAGGGCTTTTTTTAAGTAATCATGAATTTTACAGAAAAGAGAAACGTTTAGAAAGCAGCAGGCTTCATATGGTTTAACAAAATAACAAGTAGTACATGTATAATATTCAAATTATACATTTAGACTTAAATATCAACATGGCGAAAGTCTGTACCATATATTGACTAAAATAAAACAAAACAATGTCGACTTCTTTTCAGGATAGACCCTTATCATCCCTTTCTACAGCAAGCATGCGACCCATATCATCCCTTTCTACAGCAAGCATGCGACCCATGGATATCAATTCCGCTCACTACTATGAAAAAGTAATCAGTGTTATAACAAAGGAACCCAGTGACAGATCAAATGGTGATATAAACCAAATCAAATCATGGTTTCAAAAGAAGTCGGATTTATTTAACCAGCTGAATGACGGTAAGCAATACAACCTTCAGAGACCATGATATTCAGTACATCATCATGTGTGATTGTAAATGTAAATCCCCTTTTCACTTGCATATGCCCATTTTTCAACATATTTTACACAAAATATTTACAAATTATTATAAGTTATTAAAGAGGTATATTTGTAGGGGTAATTTCACAGTAACTTTTTTAAATAAATAGACCATTTTCAAAATGGCATTGAATCCTTACCAAACCAGACATGGTTAAAAGTGTTATAGCTTCTGACAACATTGTCCATATTCTAAAGATTCGATCGAACTGGAAATGCTTGTAAATAGCTTAAAGCTGAGGTGTTGATAAATAATGGTTTCTGAGTATTGGTAGAGAAAAATGGCAGATCATGCCGATTTGAAACAATATTTCCATCTAAGTTTAAGCCACGTATTTCATTTAAGATACATGTTAAATAATTAGGTTTACGATCTCCTTCAACGTAAAATTCTACAAACATTATAAAAATGGGCAAAAGCATGCAAAATTTGCAATGTTTTATCAAAATTGTCTTCAAAGAAAAAGTATGGAGCTCCATGGTAAATTAAGGATATGTTGCATAATTGCCAATGAGAAGAGAAACTAACCCACCAGCGACCAAAGGACATGGATATAAACACCTATAGGTCACCGTACAACATCAATAATGAGCAAAAACCATACCGTATATACATGTACTATATATATATAAGGTCCGGCATGACTAAATGTGAAACGAGAATGTAGGCTCGTTATTCCTAGATCTCTAGGTTTCATTAACCTTCCAATAATTACTATGTGAGTGCAAGCCATATATCGTATTTTCCTATTCAAACAGCTTCTTCTTATTTTATACTTATTTGATGAGCTGTGTATGGCACATGTCAATATCTATGATGATGTTATAACGCATTCATATCAAAGCCCATATCAATCATCGACAAAAATCAGATTGAACCGTTGAACGTCTCGAATAAAATATATAACTTAGAGTGTGAAAAGCTCAAATTGATGTTCTGTATATTTCCTTCCAGAAATAATCCACGATTTGGTGAAAAATTGTGACTTTATGAAAACTGAACGTGACTTTCTTCTCATCGAGCAAGGTGAAAAAGGCGACTGGTGAGTCTATTTTTGTGCTTTTATTAAATGCATCAACATCCTTACTACTTGCACATTGTATGTACCCGTATAATGTATGTATAGTTGTAAAAATATTACTATAGTAGCTGCTTTGATGACATTGAAGTAAATTTGAGTTTTTTTTAACTTCATCTAAATAGAACTGTCGTATTGTAAAAAAATAACTAGACTTGCATGGATAATGCTGTAAATAATTTACATTAGAAACTGACGAATGTGTGGTTGTAAGTATTGTAAATAAAAGAAAAAGTAACGATGATATGTTCCATTTTATGTTCAAAATATTGAGTAATTGTTTTTTTTCAGCTTCTTCATTATATTAAATGGATCAGTATCTATATATATAAATACAACTCTGGAACTAGAAAAGGATTTACCAGATGTCTCCAGAAATCCGGACCCACTAGAAGAAAGGAGAGCAAGCATGGGTAAATTAGATGACGAGAAAATAAAAGAATTAGATCGATCAAAGTATGGAATATACGTTGGAGAAATAGGTAAGGAACTACTAGTCAGAGTTAAAAAAAATATTTGTATTGTAATTGTTATATTCAAATTTTATCTATGGCATTTCACAATTTTACCATAACACCTTTATGAATAGCCAAAGACAAAACTTAAAGATAACATAATTCTTAATATTGATAGCCTCAATGTTTGGAGAGAAAGAAAAAAGTACGTTATTTTACTATATTTTTAAATGAAAAAAAGACAAATGATACGATTTCCATACCCACAATACAATTTTATGGAATAACTTTTATCAGGTACATGTACAATGTATGCTCTTTGTTATAAGTTTGGAGAGCCAAAAATATAAAATAAAACAGCCAAAACCTTAGTTTAAGAATTATTACACACTAAGAACATGGATTAGAAATTTACAAACAAACTGTTTTTTTTAATTAACACCAAAACTAAATCACTGGCTATGCTGGAGCGGAAAGTATCCTCGGGGACTGATTGCCCTCCAGGAGCAGTACCGACAACGTGATTTAAACATATATTATTTGCGTGCACACAACGTATGTTTTTTAATTATTTTCATTAGATGAGCTCGAGACCAAAGTCTAATGAATTGCTTCGCTGAGCACAGCTGGATACGACCGCAGATGTCCAACCCTGAAAAGTTGGGGCCAAAATGGACACAATATTCACGCTTGATACAGGTCTGAATTTGGATTGTAATTAAATTTTTGACACAGCATAGGTTTCTGACACAGAATAACTGTAGTCAAAGAACTTCAAATTGGTTATAAAATTTGAACTTATATTCAAATATTTGCTTTTGTGCAATACACTATGCGAATTGACCCCCCCCCCCCCCCCCCCCACAAAAAAAAATTACCCCGTTTTTTGGCGTTTGTGCAATACACTATGCTGTTGAATATTAACCCCCAAAAAAAATATTTGAAGAAATTTTCTTTTAATTTCTGAAATCTGAAATGAGAAAAATAGTCCCCCTCCAATTTTTTTCACCTCCCCCTTTCCCTTATTCCAAAAAAAAATCTTTCCCTCACGTTATGGTCAGTATCTCAGACAATCATCATTTCTTAATACATAATTTACAAGCAGTGTAAGGGAGGTAATCAAACATTGTTATTTAAATTGATTTTGATTTTGATTTGGATTACCTCCCTTACACTGCTTTTAAATTGTCTCAATTGTCCTTTAACCAGAAAAACCCTTGTTTTTCCCCTTTTTTGCCCCTAATTCCTATATGGTTTGAGCCATAACCCCCCAAAGTCAATCCTAACCATCCCTTTGTAGTATGGAAACTTGTGGTATAATTTCAGAGAGATTCATACACTTTAACACAAGTTATTGTCTGGAAACTACAAAAATGTTTATTTGGGCCCCTTTTTTGGCCACTTATTCCTAAACAGTTGGGACAATAACCCCCAAAATCAATCCCAACCTTTCTTTAGTGGTTATTAACCTTGTGTTGAAAATTTATTGATTTCTATTTACTTATACTAAAGTTATTATCCGGAAACCATCTGTCTTCGGACGACGCTGACGACGACGACGACGACGACAACGTGATACCAATTAATATACGACCAACATTTTTTAAATTTTTTGCGGTCGTATAAAAACTAAAAGTGCCTAAATATTACAACCAAAACCTTTTATACCAATCTTGCAAAAGGGAGTTGCAACCTTCTTTTTATAGCAATTACATAATTTTATTATAACCAGTTGATTTAAATATAAACTGCATCATCTAAATCATTTCAATACCGAAGCATTGGTCACTGGGCGAGTGAGGCACCATGGACTGAGATGAACATTAACAACGACTCTGTTGGGGAAAACAAATTTCGATTCCCGAGCGAATGACAAGTATTTCTGGAATAATCGTCTGATTTGCAAGATATTGTTTTAAAAATAGTGACGATTAAAAAATAGACTTTAACCAATTCAACGAAATTAGCTCTATTACAGAGTTTTAATATGTTTGCTAAAAGCATTACTTTAACCAGAACTTTTGTTTCCTTTAGAATGTGGCAAAAGCTTCGGAGAACTTGCACTTATAAACGCTGATTGCGTTAGAAATGCAACAATAATTGCAGATGAGACTACAGACTTGATTGTGATTGGTAGAGATCTCTATAACAGATGTATAAAGTCTTTCCATGCTAAGGAATTTGCGGAAAGGAAACAGTTTGTCGAAAGTAATCCTATATTTGACAAATGGCATCCGAAGTACAAAAAACAAATGGCAATGAGCTTGAAGAAGGAGAAATTTCATTTTGAAAGCGTCATAATAAAGCAAGGAACACGGTTTGATGGTTTACGCTTTATAATCAGGTAATTATTGCTGTCAATATAAAATGATTGTATGTGGTATGATTGTCAATGAGACAACAATCAAACAGACTCCAAATAACGCATATTTAAGCACTTATAAATCACCGTACGTTTGCTACATTTCAAAGCTTGCAATTGCAGCTTATAAAGAAGTTATTGAACCTAGGGTTTCAGACTGAACATGAACGAATACCAATACATATGAACGGTTTTATTTGCAGAAAAACAACACGAAATATGCATTCGTTATAGTACATAAGAATCAATTACATACTTTTTATGCCGTACACTATTTTTTCAGTGGACAGGCGAAAGTCATATCAGATCCATACCAGCATTCTACGCAATATTCTCACTACTATCCTTTACCAGATATTGAAGACTTGAAGAAAGAAGAAGCACGTGAATCACTCAGAAGGTATATAGAGCTTTAACTATGTTACTTAATTATATATCGTAAAAAGGACAATACTGATCAAAATTAGCCATAGCAGGATTTAAACTTAGCACATACTTACAACTTCTAGTCCAATCAAATTGCTTATATTTGCCTTCTAATTTTCATAGTACATACTTTTCCCGTGTACTAAGTAACTACACATGAATGACCACAAGGGTAAGATTTCATTGTATCATAATGAAGATATTTAAATCAAAAATTGCCGCTGGCTGTTTTGAAATAAAATGCTGTGTTCCAAATTAAATTAAATAGTTTGTAATTAGTTTTCACGTTGATTTTTAAATATCCTGCTATTAAAATCTTTGGATCTAAAAAATGTTTTTGATAATTGCTATTTCTTTCATTTAAATAAAGGGTAATACATATGGTTCTTTATACCTTGATTAGAGTACAACGATATCTTAAAATTATGATAATGTAATAATGTATCATCCATGCAATTACTTTGTACACAAAAAAGTGTGTACTATGAAACCTTGTGAAGGGAAATTAAAGCAACTTGGTGATAATTTTTTTAACTTTCTTAAGGTAGGTGATCTATTTCGTCATGAATTGATTGATTTATTGATTATCGGTTGCTTAATTTCCAGTGGCAAATATTTCATGCATGTTCAGGACGATGTCATGAATTGAAAAATTGTGATTATGTCTGAAGATAATGTGCCAATTATATATATAAACATATTCTGATAAATCTTTTAGTTTTTACTTTGAAATAATAAAAAAAAAAAAAACACACAAAACCTATAATCTCTGATCTATTGATAGTTGCTTTTTAATGCCTATCTGCTAGACTATATCTATGGGGACAAACTATCTATATGTTTCAAATTTATTATAGCTTTAGTTTTTAGTGAAATTAAAAAATGTTTTCAAAACATGTAAAGCTTCCACTGCAATTTAATTATTGCCTGCTTTTGGTCAATTTATTTGGTCATCTTACCATGTAAGAAGAACATGTATAGTGAAACACCACTTTATATCAATATACATACTTACACCAGCAGCTACCATCTTTTCATTCTGGAGTCAAGGGCCTTTTGAAATCACATATTTTACAATGATACTAGTGAGTAGATTTACAAAACTTCGTTAATGAGCTCCGTTTTACAAACACCTGTGATACAAGTAGTCAGCCAAAATAAACTATCAATAGACCAATTAAAAGATTACTCGAGTTGTAAATATGTGCTAAATTGGATAGTCTATGAAAAGGTATATACTATGAAATTAAGAGCTCGGGGCAAGCCCCTCGCTCTAAATTTCATAGTATATACCTTTTTATAGACTAACCTAGACATATTATATTGTGGATACAATAGTTGCAAGTAAAATCATTTGAAATACGTGTTTGTTTCACAATCTTGACCAATTCTTTTGTATTACATGCCACTAACCAATTATATACGGTAAACGTATTTTAGTGAGAACGACAAGTGTTTGACGAATAGTAATCACTAGATTAGCTTGGGGCTAAGTAAAACAATCTATGAAGTAGGATCTACATGTATATAGCAAAATGTTTGCCAATACTGAGGTAATGGCTTCTGGTCGGTATCTACAAATAACTTTTTAGCGCGGGCATGACATGTCAATATTACATACAGATTTTGATGTAACCATTTTAGAACAAGACGCATCGACATGCACATTCGCACATTAAAAAAAACATTTTGCAATGAAAACATTTTCGTTTAGATATAAGGTAAAAATGATTTCCTCTAACTACAGGTTTGATTTAATCCTATTGGTGGTTTAGTTTTTCTGTTGTTTCAGGCGGTGGTATACTTCTGTTTAGTTATAATTACAACCCGAATCTGAACCTTCCGTCGGAACTGAGATCACATCCAGTTCTTGATGAGTTTTGTTCATTGTTGAAGGACGTACGGTGACCTATAGTTATCTCATTAGCAATCCTACCACATCTTCCTATTTTTATATTGTGATATAATTTTGTGTTTAGCAATAGGCCGTTGAAAACTGTTTGAAAGCCTAATGTTTGTTAATGTTTTTGTTAAAAGGGAACTAAGTGCACTTTCACGTGCCGATGTTTTAAACCAAAAGGGTACAAGCCGTCCGAAATCGTCTCTTAATGTTGTAACGAACAGCGAGTCCTCCTCCCCAAGAACGAGAGCAACGAGTGGTAGACGATCACCAATACCAACACGTCGTCAACTAGAATTCTGTTTGATAGCATCTCAAGAAATACTAGGTAAGATATTAATATATTGTGTCTAAGTAGTCATCACAGACTTTATATTATAACGCTCATTTATTATCTATTCTTTTTTTTTTTTAGTCATTTTCCCCATTTTTTTATTTTTTGTCTGTTATTCTATATTCTGTAAACTCCATCCAAATCCTCATATCATGCTCATCAGATATAATACTATGATTATAATGATCTAACGTTATTTTAGGCTGACATTTATTGTTATGTGAAACCTGTGTACTCCTTCACACACTTTGCGTTGAGCGTTCCAGATGAAGGTTAATCCAGAAAAGCTCTTCGGACTTACAAAGTGTTATTTTCATTTCTTAAGACAAAGTAATATATTTTACTTTGTTTTGAAGGAAATAAAACGTCTTCTTTCTAATCGCACGACACGTGTCAACGTAATTATTGTTTAGAATTCATATTCAAAAGAGACAACTTAGACTTTCGAAAAGAAAATACAACAAGGAACTATATTCCATAGTAATGAAACTTCAGCTTTTAAAACCCTTAACTTGATTCCTACAAGTACAGTAACTGAAAATGATATCAGACTCTAATTATGATTCGCAAGACGCATGTGCTCCTGTTAAAAATCACAAAGAACACTGACATCAAATGTTTGAAATAAAAACACAGGAAATCATACAGAATTTTCACAGTAAGAACGCGTACAAAGTATTAGCCTGGTATCTTTGATGAGTATTTTTTTTATACCTACATACTGTAAAAACCACCAAGGACTCACAAAGAGAGAGCACATAACATTCACAGGACAGTCGTATGGAGTTGGACCGAATTTTATTGAACTGTTTTTTATACCTACATACTGTAAAAACCACCAAGGACTCACAAAGAGAGAGCACATAACATTCACAGGACAGCCGTATGGAGTTGAACCGAATTTTATTGAACTGTTTTTTATACCTACATACTGTAAAAACCACCAATGACTCAAAAAGAGAGAACACATAACAGCCACAGAGCAGCCGTATGGAGTTGGACCGAATTTTATCTAACTGTCTTACTTCAACATAATATGTTCTACAAAGAAACTCATCTTAGATACCGAGATTAAAACTGTGTACGTCAGATGCGCTTTTGGCCTTTTCGTCTACAAATGACTCACCAGTGACGCTCGAATCAAAAAAGTTAAAAGGCTCAAATCAAATACAAATTTGAAGAGCATTGGGGACCCAAAATTCCGAAATGTTTTCCCAAATACAGCTAAGGTCATCTATTCCTGGGGTAGAAAATCCTCAGTATTTAGTATTGTTTTTTAATTGTGTTATGTCTATACATATACATTGATTTCCAGTTAAGTTTGCTTTTATTTTCAGGTGATTTTGAAGTTGCTATGAATTTGAATACATTTTCATATTCTGTTACATGCATGGAGGAAACAGAAATATATGTTTTGAATCAGAAAAATTTTGAAAGGTTAATCGAAAAACGAAATCCTCAAGTGATTAAAATGATCAAGAATTTCGTAATGGAGAAATACTCTGTTCGAATGACTTGGATGAAAGAAAAGAAAGATATTCCTTTGTTTCGTTATTTACTGTATAAGACTGAAGAGACAGAACGAAAAAAGAAACTAAGAAAGTGAAAGACACATGATTATGAAAACGATTATAAATGTTCTAGGTCTACATTAAACATTTCATTATACTTTTACAACATACTTCTTATAGTTTGGAAGAATGCAGAGGATGAATTATAATAAATTACTATTACTGGACTCTTTTTAGTTTAGGGTATCTTTTGATTTAAACAGTACATTATTTTACAAGAGAAATATCGTGACCAGTATGATGCGACCGTAATAAAAAAGATCCTAAATCTATGCATATTTACTACAGTACTATACTTTGATTTTAAACTATAATGTTTTTTTTTTATTTCCATACATACGTTAGTATTAACTAAAATGATATTTTTTTAGTTTACATTATTCTATTTCGAATATCCTTATAAAATGTTTTTGTCAATGGATTCATTTTCAAGTTACAGATTGTGCCTAAGACAGATAGTCTTTATGTCTCTGGTTGTGCTAAACTGTCATAATTTGTTAAGATTTAAAAAAATGGGGAACACAAAGATGTAAAAAAGAAGATGTGGTATGATTGTCAATGAGACAACTCTCCACAAGAGACCAAATGACACAAAAAAAAAACAACTATAGGTCACCGTACGGCCTTCAACAATGAGCAAAGCTCATACCGCACAGTCAGCTATAAAAGGCCCCGAAATGACAATGTAAAACAATTCAAACAAGAAAACTAACGGCCTAATTTATGTACAAAAAATGAACAAAAAACAAATATTTAACACATAAACAAACGACAACCACTGAATTTCAGGCTCCTGACTTGGGACAGGCACTTACATACAGAATGTGGCGGGGTTAAACATGTTAGCGGGATCCCAACCCTCCCCCTAACCTGGGACAGTGGTGTAACAGTACAACATAAGAACGAACTATAAAAAAGAGTTTTCAAACAAAACACGAGAAGATATTTTTTTGAAATACATTCAGAAAATGAAAAGAAAATATGCGGTGCATGGCAATATAAATTAAGTTACAGTACAATATATCATAAAATTAATATTCATCCGCGTTATCTTTCTTTTTAAGTCAAACTGAATTTATAAAACAGTTATTTTAAGCCCTTTATAGCTTACTGTTCGGTGTGAGCCAAGGCTCCGTGTTGAAGACCGTACTGTGACCTATAATGGTTTACTTTTATAAATTTTGACTTGGATGGAGAGTTGTCTCATTGGCACTCATACCACATCTTCTTATATCTAATTACCATAAAACAAAGAAGATTTTTTTTCTTTTAGACAACATTTTTACAAATAATAATAAGTTTATCGCATTTTACTATTCAAAATCAATTATATAAGACTTCATGCACAATATGTGTGTTCGTTAAAGATATTTCCTTATTCCATTGATATTCACAATTGACAGCTTAACAATTAAATAAACTAATGTTATGTAAATATAAATAAAATAAAAGTCAGTCAGAATTGGTTGAAGAACATATATTCCAGTTAAAATGCTTGTCAATTCATAAGTTTAATATTATAGCTAAGATATAACATTTCTGCAGTTTTTATTTCATTGTTATAATAGTTCCGTCCAAGAACTGTATCAAATGACCATGACACTTTCCGGTGACACTTTCCGGAGAACAAATATGATCGGAATGATCATTCGATAAATTTTTATAAACCTTTTATACCTCCGTGATTAGCGCTAGTTGGTTTTTAGTCAAGTAACACAGATACTGAAAACTGTGGCTTCAAAGTTCTTCAGCTTTTTTTTTTTTTTTTTTGACAATTCGAAATTATGTTTAACAAATGAAAGAAATGATATTTGGGGTTACATTGTCAATGAGACACCAACCCAACGACTAAAAAAACCAAAAGACATCTTGAGGTCAAAACATAGTCTTCAACAATGTACAATGTCTTAAGAGTGGCTACACTAAACGACTTTGAAAAGTCAGCTATCAACACCAATTATCCAAATCAAAACTTAAGACGACAACTTATGGTGCATATGAACAAATGGCCAGATTAAACTAGAGTCTTAAAAATTATACTTAATTACTCCAAGGTGGCAACTGAATATAAGATATACGGGAACTTTATATAAAATAAATTTCGCCGAAAATAGAAAATAAAGCTGTGCTGAAACTTTTATACGTAGACAACGCTTATAAAGACAGATATATTATGTAACGAGTTATATAAAAATAAGGAGATGTGGTATGATTGCCAATGAGACAACTATCCACCAAAGTTCAAATGAAGTGGATGTAAGCAATTATACACAACCGTATGACTTTTAACAATGAGAAAAACCGATACCATAAAGTCGGCTATAAAAGGCCCCGACATGAAAAATATGAAACATTTCAATTGAGAAAACTAACGGGCTAATTAATAATAAAACAATTTACGAAAAACAAATATGACAGACATGAACCAACGACAACTATTGAACTACAGGCTCCTGACTTAGGACAGGTACGTATAGAATGTGGCGGGGTTTGACTAGTTTGCTGGCGCCAAACCCTCCCCCTTACCTGGGACAGTGTTGTAACAGTACAACATAAGAACATATATAAGGTCTTTTGTTTGTAAAATAATGATTTATTTTACTTAAACAACTTCATTTAGTTATAAAGGACAATTGATAGGATCATGTATATATTTAAATGTCATATTGTGATGAAATGTCTTTTGGATATCTTTGTTTATTTGTGTGATTTGTCCTTGATATTCGTTATTGATTAAGGACAATTGTTCTTAAGAACAGAACATTCTGTAGATGTGAATGTAAAAGGAGGTGTATAAAGGACGAAATGGATAAAAAGTCTGTAAGTATGAAATACATATAAGCAATGGGTATTTGGAAAACGTTTTATTTTTCTTGCATATAGTCAATATTGTTTCCAATTTTATACTTGGCTGAAAAGAACAAAAAAATATGCTTTTTCAGATGGATACCATTCAGCGCTACACATTCATAGATTTTATAACAATAACTTTCTGTTCATATTAACATCAGTAAAATAAACGAGTATTGTGTGATCCCTACACGGGTGTCTAAATACAGATAATGTACACAGAGAATGAGCTTTATAACAAGGCGACAAAGAATAATAAGAAATGACGAAATAATACGAAATATATGTTTACATAGCACTAGATACGGACATATTCCCGATCTGTAATACCACCATTACAGTTTACGCCCAATTTTTGTGAACAGTACTACTTTCCTCGGAATGTTCTTTCGAGGAGTGATAAAGATTTTGTATTACCCTTGTATACAACGGGTGCTGATGAAAGTACTTAGATAAACATTATTCGAATGCTGTTTAGAATAATACTGAACAAAGCACGAAATGTAAGTTTTAAACACCAAAAAAAATGGTATTGGTATTTATTCAATACTTGATGATCATGTACTGTTTTCAATCATGACAAAATTATGTATTTGTGAGTAAAATACTGAAATTACTGCTATAGAAATCGTAATTTATGATATTATATATTCAAGACCACCTCAACAAACATACAATAAGCAATTGCAGTCAATTTTCAAAACAAAAATTACAATCTTTTAACATGAATTCTTGGAAAAACAATAAATCCATGTTAGTTTCGACAAAGAAACTATATGCTAAATCTTACATTTAGTACTTTTATATCTTGTACATGATTCTATTCAAGCTTATAAATGTACTCGATATGATAAATTAAAAAATATTTTTGTTAAGACCATGTATCCATGCCGAGATCGGCTGCTGATTATTTCATGATTTCATGTAAGATATGAATAAAGCGGAACGGCTTGTTGTATTCATACTGAAAAACGTTCATTGTCCTTCTAGTTAATTACAATATATGTATATGTAAATGGATTATTAACATACTACTGGACTTAAAGAGGGAATATCCACTTCCGACTTCAAATGCTTGTAGGCTGGTCCTCTCTCTCTCTCTCTCTCTCTCTCTCTCTCGATCGATCGACAATAAACTAAAGTTAGTTTTCTCGTTAGAATTGTTTTACATTTGTCATTTTGGGGCCTTTTATTGCTGACTATGTGATATGGGTTTTACTCATTGTTGAAGGCCGTACGGTGACCTATAGTTGTTAACTTCTATGTCATTTGGTCTCTGGTGGAGAGTTATCTCATTGGCAATTATACCACATCTTCTTATTATTTTTATATAACAACATTATGGCAAAAAACGAAAAAAAGACCAAAAGACAATTAAATAATAGTATGCAAAATACAACATAGAAAACTAAAGACCAACCAAAACGAAGGATATGCATAACTATAGACATATATCACGTTTCCGTATTCAGCTGTTGTAAACATTATTTGTTCAATGAATTTTAGTGTGTAAACATTGGTAATAAAACATATATATCTAACTTGATTGATATCCATGCACCTAGTTATCTACAATGGTTATGAGAATAAAGCTACAAAACAAAGATATTGTATTGCTTTTATAAACTAAAATTTAGTTCTATGTAGTATGTACATGTTTTCAAACTATCAATTTAAAATCCTTCCAATCGAACAATATGTTTCTGTCTTGAATGGCATCTGATTATCTTTATGATAGCTTTATGTGATATGTCAATAAACAGGAAGTTCATGTTTTATTCCTACTTTAAGCACAAAGACAAGACCCGATGTCCTGAACGTACGCTAAAAATCTTACATATATATGAAATAAGGACATGAAAAAACAAACATAAAAGAATTCAACCTAATTCATATAAGGCTTGGAAAATATTCATTGCTTACCTAAATTGATTTCAATTGATTATAGCTTGCATAACGTCATAGCAAATATGTCGTGAATATTCATAACGATGATATATGTACAATCAATACGATAGACAGTAATTTTGCCTTGCAACTAGGTACCCGCGCACCCATTATAGAGTTGTTGCATGGGTTCTCTAACTTGCAGGGAGCTAGTCACTCTACCTAAACGTGGCATTTGAGTTAACAGTTGGAAAGCAGGTCTATGCATCCTGCAAAGCCAAACAGATGCCACACTTTAGCCAGGGATATACAGCCGGATAGGAGAAGTCTAGGGATTTTTTCGTTTGAATTGTTTCACATCTTTTCATTTTTGGGGCTTTTATAGCTGACTATACGGTATGGATTTTGCTCAATGTTGAAGGCCGTACAACGTCTTTTATTTCATAATGAATGTGTTTCTATATCAGAGTCAACATTAGGTGTGATTACCTGGACCTTTCCATTGATTTATACCCGTGCCGAAAAAAAAACGTCAAGATGTATATGCACTGCCATTCTTGGTCTAATTCAATGCATTGTGTTGGAAGAAATCCACCGCTATGTACACGTTGAGAAACATTTACAATGCATCATTGGGGTATCTGAAAGTGACATTTTGCATTGCAAGATTTCTATTTTTATCTAACAAAACCCATTTATAATATCAAACAAAATTTCGTGCATGCATCCATCACTGCTCGACATTGATTTGTTGTTGCATTTGCTTTAGTTCTCAAATTGCACGAACTTATTGCATCTAGACGCTAATTACGTAAAACTACCAATTGAAACTAACAAAAGAATAGGAATTTACAAATACTATTGTACTCAACTCCGTTGAACTTCCAAGGAAAGGTCAATATACCTTGGCAATTCTTAGGAAACAGTAAAACATTCCAGGAGTAGGAATGGATAACAAATGAAAATGTTAACGGCGGTTATTTTTTGTAGTGATGTGATCATATATTGACTAAAACAGTCTTAAAACTAAAATATTTGTTGGGGATACATCTTACAAAGTCTAACCGAATTATTTTGCAAAGAATTCCACTGAAACCGGTGCTAGGGACCGTCTTAAACTTGCAGTGAGGTGAGAGATATTTTTTACTCCATGTTGAAGGCCTCACTATGACTCTGAGATGAAGAACAGCAATAAAAGCGCTGTTCCTTTGCTTTTTGTGTGTTTTTTTGCTGTGCATGTACTGATTTTGTGTCATAGATGGATACCCCATATTCTGTGTTTTTCTAATACAATGTATATGGTTTCATGTTTGAAAAACGAATAAATTATATATTAAGATATTTGAAAAGAGAACGCGTATATAAAGCATAATTATATAAAAGCTACTAGTAATCATATCCTTTAAAATTACATGTTCTTAGAAGATCGTATCATTCTTTTTATAAGCGTTGTTAATAATTTTAAACATCTTCAATATGTCAAAAACCACGCCAAAGTACACTCCACTGGATTTTGAAAACTTCAATTTATGATACAAAATCATTCAACTAAACTTACCAAAAAACCAAAAAGAAAGGAACTGCAGCTTTATTGCTGTTATTCGTCTATAGATCCAAATTCATACAGTCAAAAATATATCATATGTCAACTGATATTCTTATATTCTATATAAAGCTATGAAAAGAATGTATTTGTTATTTTCACTAGAGAATGTCAGCTTCTAAAGACGGAATTTCACGAAAGTTCAATCATTTTGAACTGACACGACCAACAGATCTCGCTGCTGCATATCATTATGATAAAGTTTTAGGGGTCTTAGCCAAAGATCCAAAAGAACGTTCGGATTCAGATATATACCAAATAAAATCATGGTTTCAGAAGAAGTCAGATTTGTTTAACCAGTTGAACGATGGTAGGTTCATTATTTTACGTGTCTTATATCGCTCTTATATGGAAATTGTCATTCAGTCAAAATTTAACCCTTGAAACTTACGTAACAGTTAATGAATTTATTTATTTAGCTTTAACAGTTTTGTTTTATTTGCTTTATATTGTTTTTTAAATCTACGTTCTATAAAAAAGCTTAAATTTAAGCGTTTCGCTGTCTACACACTTTCAAATGATTTATTGTTGTAGTCCTCAAAGAATTCTCATTCTTTTGAAACATCCAGATTTGATTGTTCGTTTCAAAAATACAATAACGTTTATCTTAACCAAGATCTATATCTATATTTTACTTCTTACATGCAACTTTAAATACTACATATACAATAAATGTAAAATCACAAAGGATAAAGTTACAAAGAGTAAAGTTATTGCTTTTAATGTATATTAACTTATTTGGTTTTCATTTCATATCGTCTCGAATTTCGAATAGAAATGCAAAACTGTCACGTAAATGTCCAAACTCACTTGGCTTTTTTTTTAAATGATACATTTTATATGCGGCGGTGACCCCACGTGTTTCAGGAATAAGAAATTTTCCAAAATATAAAATATATAAAAGAACCAAGTTAATTTAAATTTCATCAAAGGCGTTGTATTTATATTTTACCTATTATCAACTAGGGATCAGTATCTTTTATTCACATGTTCACCTAAATAAACGACTGAATGCTGTAATAGATCAACACATTCAACCTTGTGAAGTAACACAACGTTTAAAATTATCCTGATATAAGTTTGAGTTCGTTTTCCCCTGACTGCACTAACTACTAAATAAATAATCATATATATAAAAATAAGGTGATGCGGTATGATAGCCAATGAGACAACACCAGAGTCTAAATGACGTGAATATAAGCAATTACAGGTCACTGCAAGGCCTTCAATAAAGAGACAAAACATCCTGTATAGTCGGCTATAAAAGGCTCCAACAAGAAAAATGTAGAACAATTCAAACGAGAAAACTGACGGTTTTATTCTTGACAATTCAATTTACCAAAAAAATAAAAGACAGATATGAACAAAAGACAACCACTGAATTTACATGCTCTTGACTTGAAACAAGTGCATGAAGAATAAGGCGGGGTTAAACATGTTTGTGAGCGTGCATGATCAACACTCCCGAAACCTGTCCATGATATCTTTTTTTTTTTACATTATTTGTATTATAATTCTTGTAACTAATGAAATATGTCCCTGAGTCATAAATGTTGGGTGTTTTGTTTCCTTTCAGAAATAATTATTGACCTTATTAAGAACTGTGAATTTATAACAGTTGATCGGGATTGTGTTATTATCAAACAGGGCGACAAAGGCGATTGGTAAGTTTAAATACTGAAGATAAAAACTTATGATACGAATGATGTATAGAATGATACATAAAGGTTGACCAGTCTTGAATATAATAAACCTTTATAGTTACCTAGGACATTGAACTGCATGCACCAACAGGACAGTTAAAGTTCATGACTCATAGGCGAGGAAAGAAGATGAGACAGAGAGAGGAGAATGGCTACATGGTAACAGTCGAACAAATAAACAATAGCAAAACATAACACAATGTTGAAACCAGTTGATAGTGAATGGCATGACTGACTTTGTATTTATTTTTGACCAACAAAAAAGGTCGCCAAATAGAAGATGCCACTTGCATTCAATTTTTTTTTATTAAAATGGAGGTCAGGTAATACTATTGCCAAAGGAGAAAACACAGACAGACAGAAAAAAAAAAACAGCTCGCAAAACTCTACACAGAAAACTAAATAGTGAGCAACCAAAAACTACTGTGCGTTGTTAAGGTTAACAAGTAAACATCTACTTTTCCACTAGTGTCATTTCTACGATTTTAGTCATAACAATTAGCAACCATTGATTGCTACAATAAAATAAACAAAATAAATCTCGACATTGTGGATATATCCTTCATTAGTTTTAAAAATCTGTGTTGTAGATTACTAATACTAAATACTAAATGTTGTTCTCATATAAATGCACATCCCGACTCAAGATCAACCATGTAAAAATGTCAAGAACAGTTAAATTTGTCGGTATCCACATTCTTAATGCAAATTTGAATGTAATTTCATAGCTTCATTATTTTCAATGTATTTCATAGCTTCATTATTTTCAATGTATTTTATAGCTTCTTCATTATTTTGAATGGATCAGTAAGTATCTTCATCGGTTCAACTATTACAGCGGAAGATGGGCGTCAAGAAGGAACTTTAGAAGAATCTGAATCGTTGAAGAAAGACGGGGAAATAACTGACTTACAAGAGGATTTTAAACAAGGGGTGTTCGATCGTTCAAAGTTTGGAAAATATGTTGGAAAAATAGGCAAGAAATTACAACTGATTAAATATTGAGTCGCATCTACAACTAGTTAATACATTTTAGTCTTAAACGGTCATTTTGATCTTAACACAATCTGAAAAGTCTGAAGCTAAAAACAGTAATTCTTGTTTAGATTTTTAGCTATTTTTCAGATATTTTCTTCTTGTAAATTCAGTACTGTTCAGACTTTTTTGTTGCAGTCAATCCAGTACTTATCAGCACCTTTGCCATACAATTCATTATGTTCTTGTTACTGCTAAACAATCTGAACATAGACTGAACAGGACTTGATTGACTGAAAATGAATTGTCTGAACATTATTAAATTTACTATATAAAGTAAGTCTGAAAATTGACTGAATTACTGAATATAACATAATACTTTATTTTTTAGTCTTTCAAGAGCTGTTTAGATCGAAATGACCGTTTCAGTTCGAAATTGGTTTCCTAGTGATATATATATTCAATAACAAAATTCATGGCTTAATACTACAAACTAGTTCAAACTGAAAAGAGAAACTTTAAGGTGCTGCATTTTTACAGTATTTGTATTATACAGTGACGATAAGTTCAATTGAGACCTCTTTCTTATTCTATTATGCGTTTAAAAAGTATTATTTATAATTCCAAGGACCTAGGAGAAAGTATCAGAACTGAATACGGAAAACCCTGCTTTTTCGGTAATGCGTCCATCTCAAGTTCAGTCTGTGAATGATTTTGTTTCTGTCTTTTATTCATGAAGGAATCGTTGTTGAACTATGACATATGTGGAATTATTCTTAACTTATCCTGACCCTAGCTGGTTTAGTGTTCGACATGCTGAAAGGACTATTGTCAATTATGGAATATTCCGTTCATAATAGCATATTGTGTTTTGTACTTATTGCCCAACACGGAAGACTCCCTTATGTTGAAGATGCCTGTATTTCAGCTTAACAATCTTTTTCGCAGAAGCTTATTTTATCAAGAAATGTAGCTGTGCCGATGGTTTATTTAAGAATTCGTACTCGACGGAAAATCTTTTATTGCCTTAGATTTAATCATTCTCAACATATGTAGACTCCAGTCTGTTTATAGCTTAACATGTGGAAAGGGCATTTTTCAAACATCGAAGATAATATTATGACCTCTAGATGTCTATTACATTGTAGGTCAACATCGAGTGATTTTATCTTCGGTTATTTTTAGCTCTTTTAAAAAGTGAGCATGGTATTATGTTACTACCAAACCACTAGACGACCTTTATAAAGTAAAAATCAAACCCTTAGAGAAAACTCCTTTCAAGTGTGACATGTATTCATTGCAGACAACCATTATAAATCGTATATAAGGGCTGAATATTATTTCACTCAATTTTATTCAGAACACAATTAAAATACCTGCTGCATGTTTTCAATAGTTATATAATGATTGTTAGAGTTCTACATAATCTACCGACTTGAAACCGTATGTGTTTTAAAAAAGAAAAGACTAAGAAGATATTTAATTAATTATAATTTCAAGGAAAACACCTTATTTACTGAAAACACAATGAATAACGTACATAAACATATATATAGACATGGGCATTCATATGGGAGACATTTGTACCCTGAATACACAATGAATAACATACATAAACATATATACAGACATGGGCATTCATATGGGAGACATTTGTTCCAGACACTTATCGCCCCATTCAGTGGAGGCACTCTTTCAAATTTCAATGATCCGGAATATTCACATCAAACTTAAAATCAGATACAGAAAACTGTACAAATAGACAATATTGACGTCATGCATGCAGGTTTTTATTTGAAACTCCTGTTGAATCCGGCGTAGTTATGTTAATCAATGTACATTGAAATTTTATATGAACTATTTTTTAGAATCCGGTAAAAGTTTTGGAGAACTTGCTCTTTTGAATGCTGATTGTGTTCGAAATGCTTCAATTATTGCAGACGAAGCTACAGACTTGATTGTTATTGATCGAGAATTATTCAATAGATGTATCCGTTTGTTCCATGCTAAGGAGTTTGAAGAACGAAAACATTTTGTTGAAACTAATCCCTTATTTAAAGGATGGCTTCCTAAGTTTAAGATACAAATGGCGATGAGCTTGCGGAAGGAAAAGTTACATTTTGAACGTGTCATTGTAAAACAAGGAGATCGTTTTGACGGTTTACGTTTTATTTTGAGGTAATGTTCTTATCATAAGATTAAAATTATTTGCAATTCGATATAATAGTATTTGAACTTTGGAAGTGCAGTATAAACCAATCAAAAAGTTTTAGAAAGATATCATATATATGTTAGGTTAAACACAAAAGTACAATAGGGCAATGAAAAAGTGACGAGGGGAAAGACTGATAACACTATGTTTAAGAGAGAAACCAAACAGTCCATAAAACCCAAAGAAGGTTTAAGGTTGGACAATACAAAGTGCATCAAAAACAGAGAATTAACTAAGATACTCTAAACTCCGAAAGGGTGGATGGTTCTGCTCATTTTATGACACTCGTCGTGTTACGTCTATAAATATCAGACAAGAAGTGACTCTAAAAGCATAATTTAATATCAGATGGGTAAATGTATCTGGTCGCACATTTATACATTATCATATTAAAAAAAAACCTATTGATGCATGTAATACAAGTGAGAGGTTTAGCTAGCTATAAAACCAGGTTTAATCCACCATTTTCTACATAAGGAAATGCCTGTACCAAGTCAGGAATATGATAGTTGTTTTCCATTCGTTTGATGTGTTTGAGCTTTTGATTTTGCCATTTGATAAGGGACTTTCAGTTTTGAATTTTTCTTAGATTTTTTCCATTCGTTTGATGTGTTTGATGTGTTTGAGCTTTTGATTTTACTACTTGATAAGGGATTTTCCGATTTGAATTTTACTTGGAGTTCGGTATTTGTGTTATTTTACTTTTTCTACATAAGGAAATGCCTGTACCAACTCAGGAATATGATGTTTCTCATTCGTGTGATGTGTTTGAGCTTTTGATTTTGCCATTTGATAAGGGACTCTCCGTTTTGAATTTTCCCTGGAGTTCGATATTTTTGTTTTTTTTACTTTTTCTACATAAGGAAATGCCTGTATCAAGGCAGGAACATAACAGTTGTTTTCCATTCGTTTGATGTGTTTGAGCTTTTGATTTTGCCATTTGATAAGGGACTCTCCAATTTGAATTTTCCGTGGAGTTCGGTATTTTTGTTCTTTTACTTTTTATCTATCTGCTATATATGAGGGGGGTAGGAGGGGTCCTGATCCCGAAATCCCGGGCTTAAAAAAAGGAATCCCGAGGTCCCAAATTTAACAAAATTTAAATCCCGACATCCCAAAATTCGAAAAAAGAATTCCCGGATCCCGAAAGGATCAATCCCAAAATCCCGAGCTTAAAAACACCCGATCCCGGAGTCCCGATAAAGGTCCTATCCCCCCTCATATATCTCGACAAACGTTAACGTCATGATTGCGTACGTAAAATGTCAAAGAAATGACGTCATTCAAAACCCTTAGTTCAGTAGTTTAACGTCATCAGGAACCCTGAATCAAGGACATATTGTTAGAAAACACTGGCTTACATTCCCGAAATTATGTAAATACATTAATCGATGTTGTTTCGAAATCCGGAAAGGTATTCGAGAGAGGTTTATTTGTCCTATCAATGCTTAATTCTCAAAATTTTGACTCTGTTTTTTTTTTTATCTATAAAAGCACGCTCAAGCTTTACGATATGCGTATTTCATGTACACAATCTCTCTGTACGAATTCTCCTGAAGCCTCCATAATTGATATCTGTGGATTTATTTCAGTGGCCAGGCAAAACTTACATCTGATCCACACATGCATTCCATGCAATTTCCAGGCTATTATCCTCTACCGGATGTGGACGAATTGGAGAAAGATGAGGTACGAGAATCACTCCGTCAGTAAGTCTGGTTTACAAGATAAATCTATAAAAATGTTGCTTTAATGTTCTTTGTTATGCAGTATATAGCAATACTTTTATATATAATATACAAAATGAACAGAAATTCGATTTACAGTAATTGTTTGTAAAAGAGAGGCAAAAGAAATCCAAAGGGACATTCAATCTCATCGAAATAAACTGACAACGACATGGCTAAAAAAAGAAAAATAGCAAAAGACATCTAACTGTACATAAAACACAATTTCGAAAGCATTAGTGTAACATTTGTCTTTAAGACAAACTGGTTCTTTTATAAATAAACTAAGTTTTATATGACTTTTAAGTTTCAATGTTTGAATTACGGCACCTTTCTACGCATTTCAAAAAGGAACATGACAATACTTATTTTAAGTTATAAATTCATTAAATCTAATGTCATAAGTGATATACTGTATGTATTTAGGGAACTGAAGATGAATGATACCAAATCAGCAACAAAATCCCGTCCGAAACTCTTCACAAATGATACAGATAGGAGCGAAAAACGATCTCCAAAACAAAGCAATCGTAACATAGAACTTTGCTTAATCTGTTTTCAGGAAATCATTGGTAAGGCATTCTCTTATTATTAGACTATTTCAAATAGAAAGTATGTCTGTAAATTGCCGATCGTCCGTCCGTTTGTTCGATTGTGCGTTTTTTTCTAGTACACTTTGAAACTGTTTCTTGGAAATGTTTAATCATTGTCCCTTGCTACAAACCGCTTTTGAATGCCTCAAATATAAATTTTTGAAAACATAAGAACCCAAAGGGTCTTCACCCATAGACCTTGCCTGAAGGGATGAGGTTCGTTCTATCATAATAAAAAATATCATGTAAAGGAACTTTAGTCTTACATACATGATTTTTTTTTTATTAGTTGTTATTATCTTTGAACTAGCTGTCAGTAACTACGAGTACTCTCAAATCTGTACTTAGCGTCTTTTTTGTTGTGGTGGTCTATAAATTCCCTGCCATATCCGGTCTGTGTTTTTGTTAGTTGTATTTTAGCTTTGTATCGATGTGTGTATCAAACATGTTTAACCCTGCCACATTCTGTACCTGTCTGTCCCGAGTCTAGAGCTTGTAATTCAGTGGTTGTCGTTTGTTGCTGTATATCATATTTGTTTTTCTTTCATTGTTCTGTATATAAATCAAGCCGTTAGTTTTCTCGTTTGGATTGTTTTACATTAGTCATTTCGGGGCTATTTATAGCATACTATGCGGTATTGGTTTTGCTCATTATTGCAGGCTGTACGGTGACCTATAGTTGTTAACCTCTATGTCATTTGGTCTCTGGTACAGATTTGTCTCCTTCAATGTCTGGCTACTGCGCAGATTGCACTTTTGAAGACTGATGACCATCAAGCCACAGAACCGATTAAGTAGTAGCAAAATAATAGAATACAACAAATTAATTATAAAATTTCAGATAAAAAATACCGTGATATTAACATTTATTAAATAAAATAGTTTTATGATAAAAATAATGCTCTAAAATGAGACGGTATACAAATGCAAACACATGCATTATATATATGGGTTGTGAAAATCAATCCCCCAAAAATTAAAAAACACGCTTGTAAGAAGCTAGCTTTCTCCTTTAACTTCACGTTCCGTTATATTGATGACGTCCTCTCACTGAATAATTTAAGGCACTGTCAGTTTGTTTTAGACTTATAAGTTTGATTATCTCTCTGGTATTTTTGTCTCTCCTTTGTACTTCTATAAATAAAGACAATACAATTTCCCATGGGGACTCTTACGGATAAAACTGTGTCACTTGTACTATGAAGTTTCTTAAAAAATCAATCCTGGAAAGGAAAGTTCACATGCACTACTTTTTTTTTATAAAGGTCAAAACATACGGTTGTACGGCATATTTTCAACATGTGTAAGCCTCGAACTTCTAAGAGTTTAGACTTATACTAAATATTCTGTACTATCCCTACCTTTTTTTAGTCTTCATGAGAATTCAAGTTGACCGCTATCAAACTGTTTTTACACTGGAATAATGTCCAATTTGTGTATCTTTGAAACATGGAGTTCATACCTTGGAACTATTAGGTAAACCAAATACTTTTTTGTGCGAATCAAATTTAATTTATGCATAGTTCAATGGGAAAAAATCTCGAAATTAACGAAAGTCATTTTTTTGTTCCGAAATAATTGTCATCTTTACGAACCTACGTACAGATAACTTACCACCCCCCTCCCATTAATATACTGTTGAAATATGTACATGTACGCTACGACATAATAACTATTGAATAGCAGTCAGACTGTTCATCATGTAATAGTTGTTTGACGGAATTAATCAACGAAAAAATATTTCAGGTGACATGGAAGTTGCAATGGAGTTAGATACATATTCATATACCGTAACATGTATACAGGAAACAGAAATGTATGTCCTAGACCAGAAAAATTACGAAAGATTAATAGAAAAACGACATCCTCAGACTATTGAAAAGATTAAAAAATCAGTGCAAGAGAAATACTCTTTAAGACTATCTTGGATAAAAGATAAGAAGGAAATTCCTTTATTTCGATATTTGATATACAAAATTCAAGAGAAGGAACGAAAGCAGAAAATTAAGCAAAAAGAAACAAAAGGACAGGATAAAAAGATTTCAGACGATTGGATTACATCTAGTCTCAAAACTGGACCTTTGGTTGATATGTTCGGACCTGGGAGTGTATTTCATATAATACGAATGAAAGCAAAGCAACGAAATATGGAGAAATTAGATTATAAATCTGGAGTAACTAACAAACGCATAACCAGAGAATGCAGTAGACATAATAAATATCAAGCTTCATAACAAGTATGATGTCATACAACATCATGTCTTGTATTAAAAAAAAATCAAAATGTTGTCATGTTTTTTTTAAATATGTTTGATATGTCGTAATTAATTGTTCCTTTAAATTGAAATTAAACTGCTTCGGTGGTCAAAACGAAGAATGCTCGCCAAAGTGCTCCCTGGTAAAGTTATGTAGTCTGAATCGGTCACCTGAACATTAAAATATATGTCATGTTTGTTAGCATTTTGAGAGTATAGTATGTACCGCAGCTGAAGAGGATAGAAACTGACTAAAAGACTGGAGATGACTTAACTTTTTATTTTCAAGTCATTAAATAAAATTGAGAATGGAAATGGGGTATGTGTCAAAGCGACAACAATCCAACCAAAGAGCAGAAAACAGCCGAAGGCCACCAATTGGTCTTCAACACAGCCAGAAAATCCCGCACCCGGAGTCGGGCTTCAGTTGGCCCCTTAACAAAAATGTGTGTTAGTTTAATGCAAATGGACGTCACACTAAACTCAAAAACATATAAATGAACTAAAATTAAAAACATATAAGACTAACAAAGGCCAGAGGCTCCTGACTTGGGACAGCGCAAACATGCAGCGGGGTTAAAAATGTTTTGTGAAATCTCAACCCTCCCCCTATACCTCTAGCCAATGTAGAATAAACAAACACACAGCCATACGCACAGTAAAACTCAGTTTAAATGAACTCCGAGTCCAATGTCAGAATAGGCAACAAAAGAAACTAAGCAAAATGACAATGATACATAAGTTAACAAAGAACTACTAGCAGTTACTGACATTTCGGATCCAGACCTCAATTAAACTGATTGAAAGATTATGTCTTCATCATATGAAAATCAAGCACAATCCCACCTGTTAGGGGTTTAGTATCATACCATCATAAAATATATGAGAAGAACATAACCCGTATCATGCCAACAACTGGTTTTAGAATAAATGTGTTTATTTCCGATGCAAAGACCCTATGAGTGAATCAATATTAATACCAAAATATGCCATCTTTAATGACGTGACACCAGTATCGTAACTATATCCCTTCTGAATAAGCCTGTTTAAAGGTTTGGTTAGCTTTTGAGGTGAATGTCGACATTTTTGTGCTTTATATAGAATATTACCATAAAAGATTGGATGTGAAATACCTAAACGTTGTTACATACACAAGCGAATCGAACAAGTTGAGATTTATAAACACCAAAAGATGGTGACTAGGGAATGTCACCACCTAAAAATGGATAATTAACAATAGGAAATGAAATGAAATGGAATTATCATAAATTTTGGTATTAAACTTCCCGTTAAAGATCCAGGAAAGGGCAGTGTCCATTGTTAGTATTAGCTTTATTTAAATTCAGTTCAGCAGGATAAATCTCTTCAGTGTACATACTTATCATTATTGAGAGCCAATATATCATCCAAATATCTAAAAGTGTTATTAAATTTTTGAATCAGATGTTGTTTCGATGGGTCTTTGCTGATTTTAGTCATAGATTGTAACTCATAACAATACAGAAACAGGTCCGCAATAAGTGGTGCACAGTTATTCCCCATTGGAAGTCCGATAACTTGACAACATACGGAATCTCCATAGCGAACAAAAATGTTATCTAGTAAAAATTCAAGGGCAGTTATCGTATCAAATTAGGTCCAGTTGCCTGCTTCCGACTAAATTGGCTCTCTCGGTTCATAACAGGTTTATCAGTATTTTTTTGTCCTGAATGTTCTTGCATTTATTTGTACTTTATTCCTGTCACGTAATGTTATCATTTTAGCGATATTTTTAACATTGCTATATAAGCGGGATGTTTGGCTAGCCATAAAACCAGGTTCAATCCACCATTTTTTCTTAAAATGTCCTATACCAAGTCAGGAATATGGCAGTTGTTATCAAATAGTTTGTTTCTATGTATGTTAACGTTTGTTTTTGTTGCACTTCAGTGTTCCTGTTGTTCCTTTGTTATCCTCTTATAGTTGATGTGTTTCCCTCGGTTTTAGTTTGTAACCCGGATTTGTTTCCTCTCAATCGATTTATGACTTTTAAACACCGGTGTACTACTGTTGCCTTTATTTATCAGTAGTAAGAAATAGTCAGTTCCAGACAAGATCACAAAAGACAAGTTAGTAATTATTGCTGCTATAGCAAGATGTTGATTATTTTTCAACAGGAACTGTCATTTGAGCTAATCAGGACGTTAAACATTACAATACGGATGTCAGTTAAGGTAGATTGGGGGTCTAAACTAAAGTTCATAGATTTGTTTAATAATTTGTCAAAATGTAGTTTATATCATGCTTTTTTCAAAAATATCATAAAAAGTATGTGTCAACGGGCTTTTTTCAGATTTTGTATAGATTATGCATGGAAACCCCAATTTTGTATGATAAAAAGAAAACTAAACCATAGATTTTTAAGATAAAATATAAGAAGATAGCTCTTGTAATATGCTTTCATATAAGAAAAATAAAAAAAATTGGTCACTGAACTCATTGTCTTGATACATAATGAAATATGTAAATTCATAACACATTCTATTATAAAGATTACTTAATCTGTTACAAAATTTTGAATTATTCAAAACATTTTTTTCTATCCCAAAGTATATATGGCCTAAGCCGTAATTGGCACAATGTTTAAGTATTTTTGGTTGTCAATGCTCTTCAACTTTGTATTTAATTTTGCCATCCAACTATTTTGATTGGAGTGCTAGTGGTGAGTGGCAGTTGGTTTTTTTTACATGTTCCGTTGATTGATAACCATTTGATTTTGTGAGTTTTTATGGACTTCCTCTTTTTGAATTTGTCTTGGAGGTCAGCATTGTTGTTATACCTTATTAGACGAAACGTTCGTCTTAAACAAATTATAATCGTAGTATCCTTGACGATTTTTTTCATATCACATTTAAGTCCCTTAAAAGTCACTTGCATGTTCTCGTCTTGAATGTCGTTTGAATATTTTCCTCTCGTTTTGTCTTCATATGTAACTGGATGCAGCATTTTTTTTAAGAAGAAAGATGTGCCAGCTTAGAGTCAGAATAATGTATTCCATAGGGATGACAAGTCTCACTTATAGGATGGTTCTTATACATCCTTGTCTTTCAAATATTCGGCTTTGAGCGTTCCTGATGAAGGTAAATCTAGGAAAGGGCTTCGACTGCATGAAATTTATAACGTTTTGTTTTATTTTTTGCAGCACTGGGTCGTTACCTCTGCTGGTTGACTAACAGTCCCAGATGGTATCATCAGCTTAGTAGTCAGTACTTCGGTACTGACATGATTTACAAAAAACCTTTCTAAGATTGACCGTTAATAAATTTTGAAATTATAAGAAACTAAGGTTTCCTATCCCTCAGGCAAAGTTGACCTTAGATGGATTTGGCTATTTTTTAGGATCTTTTTGGTCATATAGCTCTTTAACTGTTTCGGTTCTTATACATCATTGGCTTTCAAATATTTGGCTTTCAGCGTTCCTGGTGAAGGTAAATCCAGAAAAGGGCTTCGACTGCATGAAATTTATAACGTGTTGTTTTTATTTTTTACATTGAAAGCAACAATTCTTGCGTAATTATTTAAGAGACCATTGTTATGTTAATTTTCAAAGTCAAAGGTAGAAGATCTTGCAAAGGATAATGAACAAGATTACATTTCGATAGACTAAATGACTTGGTCAATCCCCGTTCAATTTATGAACTTTTTAAATGATGAAAGGAAGGTTTCTTATGATTTATAAAAAAGGTCAAAGATGAACTTAACGTCAGGGGTACTCTAGTTTATCTTGAATCCTGTCAAAGTGCTAATGCAAAATAGTAACATTGGTTTTCCTATAGCTTGTTAAATATCAACATGACATGACATGATTTTGTAGATATAAGATCAAAATCCCAATCCGGAGCTCAAACATTGTCAGTGCATTAGAGAATCGTACGTGTTTACACACACAAAGAGATCATTCTATTGATTTTTCATGTTAAAAGTAAATTCCATGTCCTAAAAAGTTTTGGTCTACTCATTGATGGTAAAATGGTTACTAAAGAATTTTCTAAATGACACCTCAAAGATTTATGTGTTGTAGTAATTTAAATGAAAATACGTTTTTAAATTTTTTTTATAAATTATAAATCTTGTCCTATAGAAGTGCGTGCAAAATAATTATCTTCTGTTGGACGAATTCTCCAAATCGGTAGAGAGTCGGGTGTACTCTACTTCAGTAGAGACATATGTCATTATGTACATTAATCTTGTGTAACTGGTATTATATGCATTAACATTAGGGATATTGATGTCATTTTAAGGATTACAAGAAATTTGATTGGAACTTGGTGTAAAGTTTAAGCACGATCTTAATAATTATTACACATGTATTTGCCCAAGAAGACTACAAGTAGTTGACCTTTGTCTTATCACTAAATAAACAAGTATAAGGATATTGAAATGTATCTTACTTTGTAAACATTTTTATTCTCGTTTTAGATAGATCAATATATTTTTTTTCGTTGTATGAAACATAAATCGTTTTATGATGTATCATGAAACTGCCATTTCCAACATGATTTTGTGTTACAAGTTGCAATTTTAAGGTTAAGGGTGTATTGTTCTAATGTTTCAGTCTCGTTCAGTCGGAAATTATTTCCAAAACATGCGATCAAAGGGGAAAATATTTATTTCAATGGATTCAAAAACATCATAATCAAACAACACTCTTTGAAAAAATTGCGTACTTACAATAAGTAGTTTTTGAGTAATAAAATATTCAAATTTTATAACCAATCCGGTCAGTGTCATCAGCCAAACTGTTGAGAAAATGGGTGAGTTTACAAATAAGGATTTTATCAAAAATATGTACATCCCATATCAATTTTTTCTTTTCAAAATTCTTAGATATGTATTTTTTAATATGTCATTAATAACAAAGAAGTAGAAATAATATGCTTTTTGTTCTATAAAAAGAGAAAAATCCAAAATTGACAGCATGATAAAAAAAGCAACAAAATTTTATAAAACTTTCTAATATTAACACCAACCTATAGTTTTTAAGTTAAATTATTCAGATTGGTCAACTTCATCTTTAGTGAAAGTATGAAAAAAAGTTTAATTGTGAAACTATACTTTTTTTCATGATAATAGCCCAAAAATGGGTAAAAATTGATGCAAAATTGGAAAATCATTAAAAACGGGGTACTTTCAAATGGCCGTAGCAAACAAAGAAGTGCACCACCATATGATTTTTTCATCATCATCTACTTTCTTACAGCCATTTAAACCCAAAAATCAGGTTAAGAAAAAAAGTTTAATTCTAGAAATTTTTGGCTCCTCAGAGGTGTACATCCTTAAGAAAATGACATTTGTTGGTTCTTTGAAGTTTAATATCAATAACGATAATACATGCGCATAACATGAACAATAATGTGTGTTGCCCGTCCGCGAGGTAAACTTAAAGGTAAATACCAAGAAAATGTACTGTCAAAAATAAGGAGTACATGCAAATAATTAGATCGACACTACATCTCCACTTAGTTTACGATTCGCTTCACGAATAGGCTGGCCTATACGATGGGTCTATGTCTCAACTCACTATTGACATATTTTCCCGGTCTTAAAGTCTTTGAATATCCGAATAATCGTCTAATCTGTAATGTTACCGATTCTGTCATATTTCCGAATGTGACATTTTGACTAAAGGATACGCTTGGCGGGTAATGATTGCATAGCATGTGAGACGCATACCCTGCCACCACACATGGTCTCGCTCCATTTTTAGTTCATGCCATTCCCTCGATTTTAGTTTGTTATCTTGATTTGTATCTTGATAATCGATTTATGAAAATTGAACTTCGTTAAACTACTAAACAGATGCTTTTATTTGCAATGAAAACGTGTCCATAACAATTAGGACTATTATTAGAAAACGAAATAATAAACATTGTTTTTGTTTATTTCAAAATATTTTTTATGTTATACCGATTTGAAGTGGATATTATGTTTATGAACTATTATGAAATGATCTGTTTTCTAATAGTAGTGGTTGTATTCGTATCAGAGACTATATATATCTGGAAACTGTATGATACACACAGCTAAACTTGTTTATCTTCCTTAGAAAATATCATATCAAAATAGAGGCTGTTGTTTCTGCCCAATAAACCCACTCCCTCCATTTTCTTCGAAAAATCCGTACCAAGTCAGGAATATGACTGTTGTTTTGCACTCGTTCCGTTCGTTTGATTATGTCAGTTTTATGGACTTCCCTCTTTTTGAATTTACCTTGGAGTTCGGTATTTTTGTTATAAGAATATTTGACAACATATGATAAAACACGGTGATGTATGATTGAAACGAATAGCTCAACGTAAAAATGCATCTCTTCACGATAAGGCTAATAAATTTCTTTATATTATTGAATTGATAACTGGTTCATTTTCATCAATATATACCTTTTGAATTATGCACTAAGTATTCAATTACTGGGCAACTGAATATACGTGTCCTACCAAGTATCAATATAAACATTGTTATCGCAACATCTAAGTATAAAATAGTTGTGACAAAGTTTTAAATGCATTGTTTACGTGTTAGTAATGATTACGTAATAAACTTTCGTTTTCACATTTTTTACATGGTAACATTGAATACAGAAATATCGAAGGTGTCTGGGGACCTTTTATTGGAGGTATTGCACAAATGATTCTTCCAGATTTACTGTAAATACCTACGACTCTGCCATCGACCCCATTCCATTAATTCAATCCAGCTAGCAGGCTGCCTAGCTGATCGCCTTACTCTAAACATGACACTTAATAAACCTTTTCAACAAATAAAAAGTAAACGGTCAAGAAATATTGACAACTAAAAGTAATACTATACAGATTATTTTGCGCCTCAGGTTTGTGAATATTTTCAATCGTTTTGAGTGAATAGTTGACATTACGTCACGTCTTTCGTTACAAGTGTTCACAAGAGTAAGGTTGTGCTTCTGTATTACAATTTAAAAAAGAAAACACACACAAGACTGAAGTTATGCGAATATGTAGTTTGCTTTTAACTCCTCTAGTTGTAAAACCATGATTTTTTTGTCATCTCTCACTTTCTTTTTCTGTCGATCGATTGATCGACCTCAAACTCGAATGAATACTCAAATTTTGGATATATGAATGTATACGCCTGTCCCAAGTCAGGAGCCTGTAAATTAATGGTTTTCTTTTGTTGCTGTATAACATATTTGTTTTTGTGTATTATTTTGTACATAAAGCAGGCCTTTAGTTTACAATTTTCATTTCGGGGCCTTTTATAGCTTACTATGTGGTATTGGTGTTGCTCATTGTTGAAGGCCGTATGGTGACCTATAATTGTTAACTTCTACGTCATATGGTCTTTGGCAATCATACCAAATCTTCTTATTTTTATATAGAGTACACATTTCTATATATGAAAGAATGAATTATTAGATTTTATATATGTACTGAGCTAAAACGTAGTGTAATAGAACGACTAACAGATTCAAAGTGTAACAGTTCAATGGGAGACGTACCAACACACTTTCTTCCGACTCAGATGTGCCTTGTATCAAGACAGACGCGTTTTAAATTCATCGAACTTGGTATGTTGATTTTATAGAGAAATGAGTTGCATTTCTTGACAACATTAAACATCAATAAACGGTTGCGTTCGATAGACCTGATATGCATGTGCTTGATTTTGAATACCGAACAAAATTACTTTCAGTATATAAGTTAAAAGAATTGTTGTTCTCACAATGATTTAATGAATTGTAAAATACCTCCGTTTAAAGGATCAAATCACAGTAAAACGGATATAAAAGCAAAGAAGGAATATATTTAAATGTAATACAATAACGAAACGGATGAACGCTCTAAAATTTCAATGATTATTGTGTGTAATTGTGGTTCGTCTTTACAATAAAGACTGTTGACTTGTGGAATCAAAATATTAGTGTGAAAGTTACTTTGGCGGATACGGAACTAAAGACAAAACATTAGTGTGAAAATTACCTTGGAACTAAAGACAAAAATGGCTAAGAATTCTGCTAATACGTCTGTAAGTTTAATAATTAATGTCGTAATGCTTATAATAGATCTTATGAATATGTATACATGTTTCTATTGTTGTTTGACGTATATCTGATAAAACGGTAGTTTTTTCTATTGGATATAATAATGTTTGACTTATAATCGGATAGAAATTTCTTTAGTCTTTATATGTCTACTTGTTCATTTCCTTATTCCTGTGTTTTGCTGAATTCAGATTTGAAAGTCATTCCATTGTTTTGAGTATATTTTCAACAAAAATTCCAAATGATTCAACACCAATAAAGTTTTATTTTTTTTAAAGTGCAGGTTTTTCAAAACCATAACATATCAATATTATCATAAACCAGAAAAAAGTAATTTTTATTATGGAAATATGCTTACCTTTTTTGAAGCACACTTAAGTCATAGTATTTAAAATTTACAGCCATCAGACTTTCACTGAGTTGTTTATTTGACGTTTTAGACACTCCATTGTATGGTATCGGATTGTTTATAATGTTGTGATAAGAAATCATTTGATTTTATAGACGATAACTTGTAAAAAATAAAATTTGAAAAGCTATAGAATACGAGACTAGTAATTTTCATTCGGAATCTAAAATGTTGTTGGACTTTGTTACCCAAGTAGCTAAAAGTGGACAGTTAATGCGACTGATGTTTGCTGGAGTCGATTTGAAATTTGTATGGTGTTGATGATATTTGTATATATCTCCGTCTAAATATTTCACACTGAATTCTTATTTTGACTTAAAGTGTTAAATCTACGTATATCTGCATTCCTTACACTTACTGTTCTGTAAGTTTGTTCATGGTGCTAAATTATGAATAAACATGAGCTGTACGAAGGGGGAGATCATTGTGACTGAGTCGCCTTATACTATAAGTTACATGCGTCTTCTTCGTAGTTCAAAACTTTATTTTTATTAAACTAAAGATACTTCCATTAAGTAAATAATTTAAGTAAGATAGAAATCTCATCAGTGGCGCTCGAAGCAAACCTGTTGAAAGGAAAATTAAGTTACGAAAAGGAGTAATGAAAACCTATGATTTCAAAATGTTGTGCAAACTAATATTCTGACTAAGGCCAACCTTTCTTAGAAGAAGTAAAATCTGAGTGTTTAAATGATTTTTATGCTTTATGAACAATGCATTTTAAAAAATACCCACATTAATGATATTTTATATCAGCAAATGAACGCTGACTTCTAGGTTGCTAATAATCTCTGATAAGGATAGTATACACGCTTAAATTGTGTAAAACAAAGCTGCTACTGTTAACAATATAATCAATAGGGATAAAAACAGTCCATGACTTGATATAAGAGGTTTTTCCCAATATTGGGATATTGTTTTCCTTTGATTTCAAAGTACCAGTCAATATCAACCCTCATACTTTTACCGTTTATGGAATATCAGTTCATAAAATAGCAAAGTTATGATCATTAATCAGCAATTAATTTGCCTTCACGTTTGTAGCGATCGATTATTGGGAAATGACGTAAAAACTGCAAAAAAAACCCAAAAGACAAAGAAAACGATGCAAAGAAATCGTCCATTCGTTTAAAATTTATAATCAGTGTAGTATATTTTGGTATTACTTAAGTTAACATGAGACGCAAGTAAATAATGGGTGTAGCAAATGTAAGAATTCCAGTTTGAAAAAAAAACAACCATGATAAAGTTTATCATTTAGTTATATCTAATGACTTTGTCGATAAGAATACATTATTTTTATAACCTTTTGTAAACGCTGAAAGGCAATAAGCCAGCATGTAATGTTTGTCCTAAACATAACAGTGAGATAATCAATAACTTTACAGTGCGCATTAACAAATACATGCTTGATTTAAATATTGTATGTAGTATTGTTAAAACAACCGTAATGCAATATGCATAAAGATCTACAATGCCATCAGATAAACAACTGCACATTTGAGTAGCGATTGGACAAAATAATGATCCGAGTACTAATTAATTCGTCCGACAGATTTATTTAACACACCAGGATCACAGCCTTAATATTGAATGGATAGCACCCTGTTTTTGTATTTTAAGTTAACACGTTCTTTTAGATAAAATAATATATTGTTTACACTTTATGTAAACCCTTTAACATCAACTAAACGAACAGTACACTTGTTTTAAGAGTATCGACTGACTCCAAGGCCCACAGCATTAAAAATATATTACTAAAATAAAAAAAATTCTCATTCTACGAGTACATATCTTGCAACGCCATTAACGTCTCTTGTCGAGTTGTCTTCAATTATTTTAGTTTAATGTCGTATAACTGTTTTCAACTGATTTTTTTACAAGCTGAACTCAAGAACAATTCTGCTTTTCAGGAAGTTCTTAATAATTCATTCAAAAAATAATCCAAGAAACGCCAATTGCATAAACGTAGACGTAGATTTTTTATTCACCTACTGCACAAAACCCATTTTTACAATCGATCGTCGAAAAGCGCGAACTATCATGGTTTACACCAATCCATACGTTCATTCACGTGTCTTACAATCAGCCAAGGCTACATTGACTGATTTTTTATGAAATTGTAAAATAATATAATAATTGAAATGTTACAGGTCTTTCAATAAATCAAACTGGTCGCTGCGACCTATTTTACTGTTAAGTTAAACACCACATAAAAATAAGAGGATGTGGTACGATTGCCAACTAGACAACTCTACACCGCAGACAAAATGACGTAAAAGTTAGCAACTGTATGTCACTGTACGGCCTTCATCAATGAACAACACCCACACCGCATAGCCGGTATATGTATAGATTGGGGTTTATTTTGGAGGGGATTTCAATTATAAGGCAGGCTAGTCAACGAGATAACGTTTCATATATAACGGTATTTCAAGACTTTTTTTATTTTTTTGCTAGACAGAACATGGGCCATTTTTTTTTATCTTTTGTTCTCTTGAATCTTGGCTAGACCAACAATATAAGAGAAAAGATTGATAAAACATATTGATAAACGCGTCAAGTAGATATGAACACAATATTTGACCATATTCTTTTCAATAATGTATAATGGACAAAATACAGAGGATAATGTTTTTTTATCCTCTCAAATATTGCGCTATTTCCTAGCCCAATCTCGTCTGAGGCTAAATGTATACATGGACGTGATAATAATAATGAATAATACTTATTTCATTAAATGCTGTTTAGTTAAGTTTGAAAATTTGTTCATCTTTAGTGTCTGTTAAAATCACTCATTTTTAAGACGACAAAAAGTTCAAACCCGGACAGTATCACATTGTAAAACATTTTACGGTAAACCAACTGTGTATTTACATATTGGATTTAGTTGTAATGGGTGATTTACGATTTTCTTTTTCTATATTCTAGATTATTGTTCAATTTGAGGTTATCTTTGTAATAAGCTTATTCATAAATCTCTAGCTTATATATCAATACTTCGTCAATTTATTTTGAAAACATGTTTTAGTTGCAATACAACTGTAAAAAAACGTGTTTAATTATATGATATTCAATTATGTGTCAATCTTCATATGGATAAAGGTAGATGCTTAGATCATGTGTACATCAATTAGACATAAAAATGCATATGAAAATTGCTTTAGAGGTCAACAATCGTTCGTCAACAACGAAATGTGTCTAATATACATTATGAAAATAAAAATAAGGAAATGTGGTATGATTGCCAATGAGACAACTATCCACCAAAGTTAAAATGAGGTGGATGTAAGCAATTAAAGGCAACAGTACGGCCTTCAACAATGAGAAAAACCCATACCGTATAGTCGGCTATAAAAGGCCCCGACATGAAAATATGAAACAATTCAATTGAGAAAGCTAACGGCCTAATTTATAACAAAACCATTTACGAAAAACAAATATATGACAGACATGAACCAACGACAACCACTGAACTACAGGCTCCTGACTGGAGACAGGCACATAAAGAATGTGGAGGGGTTAAAAGACTTTTTTTAATGAAAATACAGTTCATGATAGGTGATCTGGATTACTTGTATTGTTCTGACTTAGGGTTATAGTTTAGATAAGATTGCAAAGAAATCTCTTACAGACGTTATGAATGAACGTTCTTTTTTACTCAATAACATTTAAAATTTATAATATCATGAACTGTGTGTGCGAAAGTTTTCGATTTAAAGTTTTATTTTTATGTTTTTTTATAGATGATAGACATATTTCATATAATATATAATAGATATGAACTTGATATTTCGATTTACTTTTACCACAAATGTAATAATTAGACTTTTAAATATGTGTAACCATCCTGTTACATGTTTTACTACAATTATATAATGTTGTATGTACATACTTCAATATGATGACGCGCTTGTCGGTAGCCTGCTGGAGCTTGTCCCCCGTTGTAAAGATATCATATGGACAATACATAATTCTATCTAGAAATTCTTTAAAGTTTCTGTAACTTCTGTACATACAATGTATATGCTATTTTTTTTAATTTCACTGAATCCGATCTAATGTAAGTGAATATTATAGTACTAAAATAATCGCAACATCCTAAATCTGTATTGTATATATCACTCTATAAATGATATAACGATAATAACAGTAAGTGTTTTATAAATGGTTTTATTTTCCAAATAAAGATCAAAGCTGGAAATATATTATTAAAAATTTGCAATTTTAGTACTGGAGATATACACGACACAAAAAATTTCAACATACAGATGCTGTCATTTTATTTATTGGGGTCAACTTCTTTCTTAAATTCATATTGCTTATAGACTTTAATGTCCCTTAGAATGTGTATTGCGTTCCGTGAAATATTTCTCCATTCAATAATTCTTTTGTCACCTTTTTTTATCAGGATGGACAATTAGTTTCTGGAGAAAGTAATAAACAGAGTGGGAAGAAATTCAATCATTTTGAAATAACACACCCGACAGATCTTGCTGCGGCATACCATTACGATAAAGTTGTGGGTGTAATAAAAAAGGATACAACTGATCGATCTGACGCTGAGATAAACCAAATTATATCATGGTTTCAAAAGAAATCTGATTTATTTAATCAATTAAACGAAAGTAAGTTTCAGAGATTGATATTTTGTTTTAGTTTGATTTGGCTCTTAGCTTGATATTACATGATATCGATACGCAATGTCCGGTTGATTAAATTGATTGAGCTATTAAGCCTTATATTAGGATAGTTGTCATGCTGTAGTCTAAAGCAAAAGGTAAATTATTGTTTATTTATGATATTAATGATTTGTAAGACCATATTTTCTTAAATGTCACCCTATACTAAACTATACAGATTACCAAAAAAACAAAATACGAACAAATGCACAAGGTTTCATATGTTCACACAATGTGAACCTTCATATCAATTAAGACATGCTCTAGCTGTATCAACTCTAAGTTTATGTAATAATATGTTTGTCGTATTTCCTATAACTAACAGATTTGAAGTATATTCTCAATCGCTATATAATTTTATGCATACACTCAGACGGTACATTTTATGAGCCCCAAAGTGAACAATTATTGCGGACCTGTTTCTGTATTGTTATGAGTTACAATTTATGACTAAAATCAGCAAAGACCCATCGAAACAACATCTGATACAAAAATTTAATAACAATTTTAGATATTTGGATGATATATTGGCTCTCAATAATGACGACTTCAGTATGTACACAAAAGAGATTTATCCTTCTGAACTGACTTTAAATGAAGCTAATACTAATAATGAACACTGCCCTTTCCTTGATCTTGATATCTATATCTTTAAAGGGAAGCTTAATACCAAAATTTACGATAACAGAGATGATTTTTCATTTCTAATTGTTAATTATCCATTTTTAGATGGTGACGTTCCCTTGTCCACATCTTATGGTGTTTATATATATCTCAACTTGTTCGATTCGCTCGTGTATGTAACAACGTATTTGATGTTTACGAAAGAAATCTCTGTATTACTGAAAAATTGTTACACCAGGGTTTTCGATATCACAAACTAGTTAAAACATTTACTGAATTTTATCATCGGTACAAGGACATCATTCGTAAATATAAATCAACATGCAGACATCTTATATGTTCAGGTATTTCACATCCAATCTTTTAATGTAATATTCTTTACAAAGCACAAGAATGTCGTCATTTACCTAAAAATTAACCAAACCTTTAAACAGACTTATTCAAAAGGGATATAGTTACGATACTGTTGTCAGGTCATTAAATAAAGGCAACAGTAGTATATCGCTATTCGAAATTCATAAATCGATTGAGAGAAAAAAAAAACAAATCCGGGTTACAAACTAAAACTGAGGGAAACACATTAAAGAAGGCATATTTTGGAATTAATATTGATTCACTCATAGGGTATTTGCATCGGAAATAAACACATTTATTCTAAAACCAGTTGTTGGCATGATACGGGTTATATTCTTCTCATATATTTTATGATGGTATGATACTTAACCCCATAACGGGACGGATTGTGCTTGATTTTCATATGATGACATAATCTTCCAATCAGTTTAATTGAGGTCTGGAGCTGGCATGTCAGTAACTGCTAGTAGTCCTTTGTTAATTTATGTATCATTGTCATTTTGCTTAGTTTCTTCTGTTACCTATTCTGACAGCGGACTCGGACTTCTTTTAAACTGAGTTTTACTATAGTATTGCTGTGTGTTTATTCTATTATTGGTTTTTTTTTCAATTTTAGTTCATTTATATGTTTCGGAGTTTAGTGTGACGTCCATTTTCACTGAACTAGTACATATTTTCTCACTGTGTTGAAGACCCATTGGTGGCCTTGGGCTGTTTTTGCTCTTTGTACGGTTTCCCCATTTCCATTCTCAGTTTTAATTATTCTTGTTCAATACCACGTTTATATCATTTCACAATTACAATTGTCGAGCCATGATGCTGTTCTCACTTTCCTATTCATAACATCATCGAATATGATCGGATTTGTCATGCGAAATATTGCGGGTGCCACCAGTGGAAGAGGGACTGCTTTATTGGCTTGTGTAAATTATCTTTTTTAAGAACGAATGTTACAAGTCCGATATTTTTTAGTAAATGGCAGACCCTTGACATCTTTTTGATTATTTACAAGTTTCTAGACTTTATGCGAGTAATGTCGTTTGTATATGCTGCTTTTGCATTGTCGTTTACCGCACACATATGTTCATCCTTATCATATAGAAGTTAACATAATAAGCATACTGTCTTCAACAAAAGACAAATTTCAGGGCTTTTTTTGGCATGTGTATAAGCACACAATATGCTTTCGTTCTATTTATTCAATTTGTTAAGCACTTATTCGTCCCCAGCTATTACATGGAGTAGAGAAATCTAATGGTAAAAAAAGAATTATGTGCGCGCTTAAAAATATACAGACACGAGACCAAAACGTCTAAAAAAACGGAAAATCTTTAATTGGAGACAAACCTGATAAAGTATATTAACAGCATGCATTGTCTCGTGCTTGCCTCGTTTGCAGAGGTTATATGGTCGATTCATGGCCGTTTAAAAAAAACAAATTCTTAAAAAGTGGTGTTTAATGCCTACATCATTTAAGAAAAGCAAAATCTGGCTGACTCGGAGTCAGAATCATGTGTACAGGTAGGGTGACATGTCTTCCTGTGGTTTTGTATTTGTGAACGAGCATGTTAGAAAATAAATCGACTCAAGTCTAGTACATAGTAAGGTTCATGATCATATCCCATCAACATATTTTGTTCTGATATGCAAATAATTCTCCACTGTACACAATACATCAATCCATCCACCCATCCATAATATTAGATATACATTTGTAGCTATTGATAAAGGGGTGTACGTCAATGAGACAGCAATCCAATGACATCTTTAAGTCAATATATTTTCAACAAAAGTCTTTACAATACACTCTTGGTCTTATTAAAGCCCCTCTCATGAAGAGACAAGTAGACAATCAGACTCACTCCCATAACAATCAATTACATACAAAACAGGCAGTTACACAAACAGGGAAAAAACATCTATAAAAACAATGGAAAACAAAGTCAATAATATTATATAAAAATTAGTATGAAAGAACTGTAATTATATTAATTCTTTTTCTTCGATTATATTATACAAAACAATTAAGCTAATGCAGATTGAAAATCGTAATGCTTTTATATATTAAAATATGACTTATGTTATATTATGGATAATTATAACCACACAAAAAGTCAATGTTTTATTTGCATATGAGTTCTGTATGAGATTTTCATATTTTGTAGAAATCATTCACGATTTGATTAAAAACTGCTCTTTTACGACAGTAGATCGTGATTTTGTGGTAATCAAACAAGGTGATAAAGGCGACTGGTAAGAATTACTAATTAAAAGTAATACTTCTTTCGTCTACTAATAAACATATTGCATCACCCACAACCATCGCAGCTGTCTCACAGCAATCTGCTCTCCATTCCACAAGACTGATCAAATAAAAAAAAAAATGAAACTACGGGGCCAAATTTAACCAAACTTACTTAGCCAAAATCATCAATGGGGTATCTAGTTTTAAAAATGTGTCTGATGACCCCGCCTGCAGACAAACATGCCCGACATGGCTAAAAATAGAACATACTAGGTTTTTCCCTATTAAACCTAAATAATTATTAAGATTATTATTGATAAGTATATTGATGCATAAAGGTATGATACAGACCCTTTTATACGTCTGTTTATCTCATAGAACTATTTAGATGTTCAGAAACTTAATAGATAGACTATAATGCATAAAACTTGGTATTTTGAATATGTTAAAGGTTAATCATTATACAGTAAAGGTCTAGGGTTGTACTCATATAAAAACAGATATGTCCTGATTTTACATAGTTAGAAAAAATACTTTATTTTTTGTACACATTTTATGTACAACAGCTTATGTTAATGTTCGTTTTATGTGCTACAGAAAAACCTCACATTTTTTCAGTTTCTTTATAATTCTAAACGGATCCGTGGCTATCCACATTAGTACAACGTCAGGATATGAAGATGAGCGAAAAGAATTTTCAAATAAAGAGGAAGGATCGACAGAAGGACAGGACGACAAGGGGAAAAAGGAGGAGGAAAAACCCAAAAACTTAGTTCGATCTAAGTTTGGAAAATATGTCGGCAAAATAGGCAAGAATTTAAATAAAGATTTCATTGACTGTCTTTTCAGGTTCATTGAATGTCTAGGTGTCTTTTGTTTTACCTTGAGTTAATGTCCTACTGACACAAACCATACTTCTCCATTTATTCAAACTAATTAAACTACCTATATAATTTGTATACGGAAGATATGAAATATATGTTTCCATAAAAATAATACGACGAAGAAAAGATAATACGAATCCCCGAGATAATGGACAGTAGACAACATAATACACCAACCATCAACTCCGACGACAAAATATTACAAATAAAGACAAAATGTAACGTTTTAAAGATCATTATAGCTTTTCTAGGGAAATTTTGCATTTGCCACTTATTTTGTGTACTCTCATGCTTTTAAAAAAAAAAGTTTGTCTTTTGCATAGCTGCATGTAACGAAACAAAACTCATGTTTTGTCTACAAAAGACTCATCAGTCACACTCGAATCAAACAGTTAAAAGGCCAATTTAAGTACACTATTGAAGAGCATTGAGGACCCAAACTTCAGAAAGCTTTTGCCAAATACAGCTTAGGTGATCTATTCATAATTGTATTTAAGAATAACCATTCCTTCTCTTGGTGATTGAAATGCCATATATCATAAACTTGTTTTTATGTTTCAAATATTCCATATTTTAAACCTTCTGACTAAATATATGATTTCAGAATCTGGTAAAAGCTTTGGGGAACTTGCTCTCATAAACCCAGATTGTATTCGAAATGCAACAATAATAGCAGATGAAACCACTGACTTAATTGTCATTGACCGAGAGTTATATAACAGGTGTATTCATTCCTTCCATTCTAAGGAATTTGAAGAACGGAAACACTTTGTCGAAACTAATCCCCTGTTCGATGGCTGGCATCCAAAGGTCAAGAGACAATTGGCAATGAGTTTACGGAAGGAGAAATTAACTTTTGAAAGTTATATTGTCAAACAAGGATCTCCATTTGATGGTTTACGATTTATTCTCAGGTAAATTCATGATGGAATGGTTCAGCATATTCATATATTATTATTCAAAATTTGAAAAAAAAAATATTTCAAACAATTGGTGTCCTCTTGAAAGTCAATCGTCTGTAGGAAACCCTGTCAATTTTTAAAAAACGAAAGATTCTATGATTCTTATAGGTTACTCGGCGCGCATTTTAATGGAATTAGGGTCAACCAAAGAGGTTATATCTCATATAACCTCCTTGGGTCAACGGACCCTGAAAATTTTCTCTGTCATTTTGTTTTGCAAAGGGTTGATGAATTTTCAATAGGATATATATGAGGATATCTGTAAAAGTGGGTTACGGTACGGATAGACGGTTGTATAGACTTGAAAACATAAGGCTCTCTACTGTCGTAGGCAGGGCGTTCATATTAATATAAGAACTCTCTCTGTGTTTGTTTCAATCATATACGTTGTGGAAACTAAAACAAATGCTAAAACATTGTTGATACCTGCATGTGCATTAGGTTTTGATTTTTTCAGTGGCCAGGCAAAAATCTACTGTGACCCACACATGCATTCTATGCAATATCCAGATTATTATCCATTACCGGATGTTGACGAGTTACAGAAAGATGAAGTCAGGGAATCACTAAGAAGGTATGTCGAAGTAAAAGTTTGATAATACAATACATCATTTAAAGCAGACCATCAATTCGCCTTTTTTTTTAGATGTGTACATTAGAACATAAAAATTGATTCAATCGATCTTAACCTCAATTGCCAATTTTGCGTGTTTACGTGTACTCCGATGCCAATGAACCAAGTGACGCTATTTATATGACAAAACAAAAAAAAAATGAATTCTTTTGAAAAAAGCAAAATAACAAAAATACCGAACTCCAAGGAAAATTAAAATCGGAAAGTCCCTTATCAAATGGCAAAATCAAAAGCTTAAACACATCAAACGAATGGAAAACAACTGTCATATTCCTGACTTGGTACAGGCATTTCCTTATGTAGAAAATGGTGGATTAAACCTGGTTTTAAACTTTACACTTTTTACATTTTAAAAAGACGTTTAGTGTGGTTCGTGTTGATTTTACATGCACTGAAAGTTTATGATTTTCTTGTAATGTCTAAAGGTTACCCAAGATTTACAAATATTCTCTGGTATGAAGCCTGATCACTTGCTATTTCTAACCTTTTTGTAACATGGCCAACGTGACGGGTGTCACTAGTAGATCAGGAACTGTGACTTTTCTGAAGCACCTGCTTTTTTGTTGGGTTTAAGTTTCTCTTTGATTTTGCGAGGAGTTTTGTCTCTTTGTCTTTTATATTTTGAACATTTAGTTCTATGTCTTTCTTCAATTTATAGTTTTTGCTTGTCTTTCGGTTTTGTCTCTTCTTTTTAATTATTTCGCAACTGTTATTTTTGCAATATTATGTTTTTCTATTTTTGTTTTTATCGGGTATGGTCTAGTCTATCAATCGATCAGAGAAACTTTTTGTATTTTCATGTCATGATTAGCGTTTGATATGTGCAAATGTCTGAGGGTAGGACGGACGAAGTTTGTTATTATTATAATGCATTATTAACGGTGCCTAAGAACAATAGGAGAATAACGTCGTTTACTAACTTACACCATCAATAAATCGGTGTGTGACATATATAGGTCAGAAACTGCCACATCAAGAGGTTTGTGTTTCTAAATTCTTCACTTTTCTGTCACTATTTTAAGCGAATTACGTGTTGTCCTAAAAATTTCAAAATGCCCCTCGGTGTTTCTTTTTATACATTAAGTATTGCAATTAAAAGTTATTACTTAGAACAAAATGTACGACAATAACATTCAAACCATTGCTTTGAATCGGGTTGAATTAATTACCTAATATCTTTTTCCCCTGTATGGGATTTGATTACATTGATATACATTGTAAAAATATCAAAAACATATAAATCAATCAATTAAATGTCCGGTATAGAATTACGGGTTGAAGTTAAAATGTATGTATATGAATACATGTAAAACACATTTTCATATAACATTTGATTGAAGAGGGTGAATTATTTAAGTTCCAAAGACAACAATGTTACTAACAAAACAAGCATAAGATCAAGACTCCATCATTGCATTTGTATATACTGAGCGCTCGTGTATGGTCAATCCGTAGGTATGCCTTTGTCCGTCGGTAACACGACCATTTACATACTTTGATTTAATTTATGTTTTATATGTATGGATTTGATTCGATTCAAGTTTAATTTGTTTGGGGTGAGAAATATCACAGGATACGCTGAGATATTCAAGTCAATGATGAAATTGTATCCTTCATGTTTTGACAACAAACAAACAAAATAAAAAAGAAAGCAATAACATGTCTAGTATAGATTCGTAAGTATGTACTAGTATTATTTCAGTAGGGTATTTTAGAAGCACGAACAAGATGCATGGAACTCATGATAATTATATTTTATTTTATAATCTGTTTTAATAGGGAACTAGGCCTAGACACGCATTCGCATAAGCCCGATGGATACAAGCCTTTGGTCACAAATCTTCATAAACTGTCTACACAAGACACAGAGAAAAGCGGAACACGTTCTCCACATCTTCATCATATAGAACTATGCTTAATTTGTTCACAGGAGTTAATAGGTAAGATACAAAGTTTTTCTTGATTTTATTTTTTAAAGTCTTATTTAAAATGCATTTGTGATGGGCAATGACACACGATTTAAATTGGATTGTCTACCGTTACATAACAAATTCATGATCATGCATTATATTATATAGGTTAGAAACTTAAATAAGTTATAACTTATGTCAAAAATTTGGACGTCTAGCTTATAGAAATCATGATCTTGGTCATGAAACCAAGATAAGACAACACCATTAAGTCGTAATCATCGCTAAAGTATAGAAAAACAGGGCTAGCTTAATGCTGTGAAACCAAGCTTAGTCTCGGAAAGTTGTTCGACATTATAGACTATTTGTTTAAATTGACTCTGTGATAAAACCATTATATTACATGAAGTAAGTCATTTTTCAAGAATAGAAAGTAAAGGGAACGTGTATGAAAAAAGGGACATGACCAAATCAAATTCTTATTACAATGTTTCATTTTTATTTATGACTTTCAGGTGATATGGAGGTTGCTATGGATTTAGATACATATTCATATACCGTGAATTGTATACAAGAAACAGAAATATATGTACTGGACCAGAAAAATTACGAAAGGCTATTTGAAAGACGAAATCCACAAGTTGTTGAAAAGATCAGGAGTTCAGTGCTAGAGAAATTTTCACTAAGACTTTCTTGGATACAAGATAAAAACGATCTTCCTTTGTTTCGCTATTTACTGTATAAGATTGAAGAATCAAGGCGACAGAAAAAATCAAAGAGAGACAAGAGATTATGAGAGATGATGTACATGCTAAATATCGCTTGGTGATAAACAATTAAAAGCAGGAACCTTTATAACTGGAAACTCTAAAAAAACATTTAGATACAAACTGACACAAAAAGCAAGAGTACTTATATATCTCTCGTATTGCTGTTTGTTCAAAGCAAATAACAGTGTAATCTTGTAATATGGGAGAATAAATTGCTGAAACAAACTTATAAAAAAACGTCTAAAAATTAAGTTGTATTACCATATCATTCCATTAACTAGTGTTTAATGGTCTCTTTATAAAATATTGTGCAAAAATAATTTATCATCTCTCAATTTTCAACATGTCTTTATCAAAAAATATTTGATCCAAAGTCACATTTTTTGTTTTTCTATTTTTATATATATCTAAACTTAAGGATCCAGATCTGCCAGACAAAAATTACTTTAAGTGTTTCATTCATGTCGCCATTTTGTTCTGTTGTGTAAGGGTGGCACATATGTGCATTTTAATAATCAATAAATTTCAACATTACAAATATGTTCCTTTATAAAAGAAAGTTGAGTCTCCTCTTATTCAAAGATTCAATGACAATTAAGATTACCAAGGAAGCATTATTCAGTTTGAGTCATAACTCGATCATTTCCAAAAATGTTCATATTTGAGTATTGCAATTCAGATATATAAAATGTCATTCGGTGACCTATATTTACTTAGATTCGCTTCATTTGTACTCTGTTGGATAGTTATGTCATTGGTAATCATACCACATCCTTCTTACTTGATATTGATTTTTTTTTCCAACTTGACAACTTTGTAACCATAAATTAATGGTGCAATAAAAGTCAACCTTAATCGCAGTTAGAAAAGACCTTATAAATGCAAAAATGTCAATAGATTGTGTTGTTTTGTCCCCTATGTAACAGTTTGAAAACTTTAAAAAAACACACAAAAGAAACAATTTGCAATTGTAACCACTCAAAAATAGATGATACACCTTTTATACAATCAAAACAAGAAAAATATTTCAAATGGCCATATAATTTCAAAGATTGAAAATATTTGTATATGTATATTACTTATATTAACGTTTCAAGAATATTAAAATAGAAGGCACTTCATTTTATAATTAAACTTGTTTCTTAACTACTTAGAAATAACTTGTTTATTGACTTAAATTAATGCGACAGTAGTTGTCTTAAATGAAGGCGACAGTAGTTGTCCTAAATGAAGGCGACAGTAGTTGTCTTAAATGAAGGCGACAGTAGTTGTCGTAAATGAAGGCGACAGTAGTTGTCCTAAATGAAGGCGACAGTAGTTGTCGTAAATGAAGGCGACAGTAGTTGTCTTAAATCAAGGCGACAGTAGTTGTCCTAAATTAAGGCGACAGTAGTTGTCCTAAATGAAGGCGACAGTAGTTGTCCTAAATGAAGGCGACAGTAGTTGTCCTAAATTAAGGCGACTGTTGTTTAGTGATGTTCAGATCTCACTAATAGATTAAGAAGAGACAAATCAAGGTAACAAACAAAAACCAAAGGAATCCCATGAACTCCAAAAGGAGCGAGACCGGGTACGTTGACAAGGTAAGGGTTTCCTGCTATACATGCATCACCCGCCATGCGAATTCACACTCAGTAAAACTGTCACAATCGGAAATAGGATACTGTTGATATTGAAACAGTTCATAATATTCAACTACTAGGTGCAAAATTGCATGCTTCATGTTGCTATAGATATGTTGATTTAACACTTTACAGAGTGGACGGGTTGCACAATCATGATGACACCAAACTTTATCAAATAAAAGTTTGAATAGTTTTGCTACTTTTTTTTGTTTCGGTAACTAAAATGTATGTCTTAAAAAGGTTGTAGTGGTGGTGACAAAAAAAGACAACGTTCAAATAAAACATACAAGAAATGTGGTTGAGACACAATTGTGCATATTTGAGAATTGGACACCATCTGTGTTTCATCGGGTTATACAAGTTACAATTTTCACTTGCAACTTTCAATTCTACAACCTTACATTTAGCATTATATTCTTTTTCCGTAAAGCTGCAAATAAAGACAACAGTTACGGCCATATTCCATTTCATCGCTATACCAGATACTAAGACAATAATATATCTTAAAATGTCCTTCTAAAAACATATCAGGGTTATGTACTAGACTGCTTCATGAACTTGTAAAAATTTGAAAGCTAGAAGCTGAATCAAAGACCTTTTTGTGCCTGTTTTTTTTTTATCAAATTAATATGAAAGTTACAATTAGTGCACAACATATATATACATATATATTTATAGATCTGTTCGTATCTTTTAATTAACTGGAATGCTGATGAACGCCTTACTGGTAAGGGCTTTCAAATAGAATTGATCAAAGTTTGATAACTCTAGTTGACTTACATGGTTCAACCTATCATTGTTCGTACAAAAAAAGAACGACGCTTTCTTTTAATCGTTCTTGAACCACAGATAAGATCATGAATGCTTATTGTCTTTAGTTGTTATTTATATTGATACTTATTGTTGGCATCTATTTATGATAGAAGTACTGTCGTAAATAATATACTTATGGCCAGATCGAATAGTCTGCCCTTATATGTGACGTGCATCACTAAACAATTTCGTTAATCTTTTAAAAAAAAACACAATGTGATTAACTTTAACAAACCTGCAACAAAATTTGACGAGTAGTCCTTGACATGACTACCGAAACCCTTAGTTTTACAAAGGAACATTATACATGAAACAATGTTACACTATATCACATATACTCAACGACCTTAAACTATAGGAAACAATGTTACACTATATCACATATACTCAACGACCTTAAACTGCAGGAAACAATGTTACACTATATCACATATACTCAACGACCTTAAACTACAGGAACCAATGTTACACTATATCACATATACTCAACGACCTTAAACTACAGGAACCAATGTTACACTATATCACATATACTCAACGACCTTAAACTACAGGAAACAATGTTACACTATATCACATATACTCAACGACCTTAAACTACAGGAAACAATGTTACACTATATCACATATACTCAACGACCTTAAACTGCAGGAAACAATGTTACACTATATCACATATACTCCACGGCCTTAAACTGCAGGAAACAATGTTACACTATATCACATATACTCAACGGCCTTAAACTACAGGAACCAATGTTACACTATATCACATATACTCAACAACCTTAAACTACAGGAAACAATGTTACACTATATCACATATACTCAACGACCTTAAACTACAGGAAACAATGTTACACTATATCACATATACTCAACGACCTTAAACTGCAGGGAACAATGTTACACTATATCACATATACTCAACGACCTTAAACTGCAGGAAACAATGTTACACTATATCACATATACTCCACGGCCTTAAACTGCAGGAAACAATGTTACACTATATCACATATACTCAACGGCCTTAAACTACAGGAAACAATGTTACACTATATCACATATACTCAACGGCCTTAAACTTGTTAGATCAATAGATATATGAAAACTTGTTTTTCAAAGCAATGTTATTTCTTATTGTTCTTACTTTATAATTAACAGAAGGTCTTAGTAAGACCTTAGCATTCTTTAAGCCCAGTCAGGATTATTTTTTTTGTTACATTTGAAGGGTTGAACAAGGAATATATGACAGATATATATTTGCTTTAAAGGCCACAACAAGGAAATGGCCGCGGAATACATAGATCATTATACACTGCACAACTTCATAGCATTATTATTTCTGCTATTTCTGCTATAGGTTTTAGAGAAACAGGCCTAGTTTTAAATCAGGAGGTTTTCATTATAATTAACTTATGTATTGAATCAGCGGTAAACATTTTTTTCTACAATTGTAGAAGCGCCCCTACAACTTTTAAGAGAATACGGATACTGTGATTTCCGTTTTAGATATAGATAGAATTTCGCATACCGTTCCATACCATGAATCCCATAACAATCTTAAATGACGATATAAAAGAAATATAAACATTTCCTTTCAGTCCTTTCTATGTAAAAGATATAAGGATTTAAGTCTGTTACGTCAAACATGCAATTCATCTACACAAGACTCATCACTGGCACTCTAAAAAAAATTGAAGGTCAAATCAAACATGAAGTTGAAGAGCATTCAAAGCCCCAAAAATTTCGCCAAATTTTGCCAAATAAGTCTATGGCCAACTATGCCTAGGAGAAACAAACTTTAGTTTTTCGTATAATTCAAAAAAATTTAAACAGTGATATTTCATGTCAAGACAAAGTGCTAACTACTGGGGTTGTTATACCCTCGTGGACAAAATGTCCTGCAGTAGTGGCAGCAACCCAGTGGTTGTAAAAACTCATCAAAGATATCGGGCTTCTGGTGAAAAGTTGTCGCTTTGGCAATTATACCACATCTCTATATTAAAGTTCGTTACGCCATACGCGCGTTTCGTCTACATAAAACTCATCACTGGCACTCTCATAAAAGTTAAAGGCCAAATAAAACACGGAAGTTGAAGAGCCTTTAAAGTCACAAATTCCGAATTGTGCCTAATACAGCTGAGGGGATCTATGCGTAGTGGTAAGAAAAACCTTAATTCTTCGATTATTCTATAAACAGAAAATTAAAAATAATGGCCATATCAATGATCTTTTGTATCAACACAAAGTGATGCCAACTTGGTTGGTGATACCCTCGGGGTGAAACATCCACCAGCAGCGACTTCGACCAAGTGATTCTTAACTCATCATAGATACCAGGCTTTCAATTTGTTACTCAAGACACGAATTTTGTCTACATAAAAATAATTAGTGGTGCTATAATATAACAAAGTTAAAGCGTCCAATCAATTACGAAAGTACGACAGCATTTCAAGCCGAAAATTGCGAAAAGTTGTTCTAAATACTTCTAATGCCTTAGTTTTTCGAACAATTCAAAATTTTATGAACATGAAATTTACAGAATATGAACTTCATGTCAACAAAAAACGGTAAAGTATTCTAGAGTTAACTAAGCTTTATATATAGATATCCATTATACATCTATTTCTTAACCTGACTATGCTAGAACTAGACCTCTACGGAAATTGACCGGCCCTATAAACGATTAAGGTGTAAATCTTATAGTATAATACTTCAAGTACAAATGTGACGACTTCCTTCCATGTAGAATATCTATTGCTGACGATTTTTAACTGGTACAAACGTGATGTCGTCTGGCTAAGACTTAGCATTTCATATATTTTCCTAACAAAAACCGAAATTTATCAAATTGATTTCAACTTCATCAGCGACGGTTTTTCAATGCTACTACTCAAACTAGTGCAATCAAAAGTAGTCAAAACACAAAACGGTGACCTAGAGTTGGTTTCTTTCTTGAGCTGTTATCCTTTGATGTGTAGTTAGCTTGTTTGCAATCATACTTTACATTTCCTTATTGTATATAAAGCAACAATTTTATAATCTTCATCCCTTGATGAAGTAGTGTATCGGCAGTCTTGCTCAAAAGATCAAAGTATTCACCAGAGAAATCATAAGCGTCCAAAATCCCCGGGGGCGGTAATTACAAAATTTAATTATTTTTTTATGATTAAATTAACAGCAATAACTTTGAAATTCTACATATAGTTCGTCATTTCTTTATTTAATACTAACGATCAATGAGTTTATTCCATAGTCTAAAGTAACTTTGTTTGAAGGCTAAGATTAATTGGATTCTGTCCTTTTGAATATGAAATGTACCGTCCGTGTTGCTAGTGAATGCTGATACCTTTACAGATATAACACGCACAACCTGCTAACAAGCAGCAACAACGACGTCAACTATGACGATGAACATTTGTTCTCAGATTTGATGTTCTCGGATTATTTTTTCTTTTGACCATTAAGCAATAAAAATGAATGGCATTTACATTACATGTTAAGGACTATCTGGACGAGTAGTCTAAGTAGTTCATCTAAAGCGATCACTAGCCTGTTCGAACCCCGCTCGTCTTAATTGACAAGGATTGCCAGTTTTCATGCCAAGAGTCGATGGTTTTCTCTGGGCACTCCAGCGTCCTCTACTAATAAAAACTGGTCCCACGATTGGCTAAGAGTGCTGAAAAGGGGTTAAAAACCATATAT